TGTCTCAACTCTGGTTTTGCAGCAAAAGCAGCCATAGACAATGGATCCAAAGCATGCTCAATGGGCACAGCTGTGTTCCAATAAAACCTTATTCATAAAAACACACCAGATTAGACCTGTGAGCTGTAGTTAGTCTGGTTCAGTGTTTCTCAAAGAGTGATCCACTAGCATTTGTTAAAAAGTGCAGTATCAGGGCCTGCCAAGGCCTGCCAGTATCTTACCCTTACCAAGTCAGAGAGTGGCCGGGCTAGGCCAGTGCTGTTGAAACAGTCTCTTCAGAGATTCAGATGCCTGCCAGAGTCTGAGAGTTGTTTGAAAACAAAATTCATCTAAACTTGAAGATCAAATTAACTTTGTTCCATGCGTTGTGAATCAGGCAGCAGCCCATCTAGCAAGCAGAAAGGCTCTCCTAGGGATTGTACAAGATGGAAGGTTTTTAGCCAGCAAGAGGGCAGGACATTGAGCAAAAGACAAGGTTGTTTCAGGTAAAACCAGCCTACCTTTGGGGGCAGCGAGGGCGGGGTCTGTCAAGCAGACTATCTGCTATTGCTGACTGGGCCCCCTTAAGACTATACCCCTGCTTGGAGCTGAAACTGCAAGAAGTCAGCTATCAAATCTGGTTGGGTGAAATGACTTTGGCCCAAGTGACTCCATTTTGGCTACATTGCCTCTTTTTTTTTTTTTTTTTTTTTTTACAAACCATTGGTGATCTTCCTGATTGCTTGCACAGGACCCTCTCGCCACAAGAAGTATTAATAACTACGTGTCGCTTCCCCAGGCAGACTCCTCTCCCACCTCCATAGTTTCCTCCTCCTCAAGCACCAGGGGCTTAAATAACCCAATTGTAGTTTTCCATTGACAAGAATGCTTCCTCACTTTCCTGACCTTCACATCCCTCGAGCTGGGACTCAGCTGCCCTCTGCAGTTCTTCGAGGTGACCCATGCTCACAGTCACCCTCCCCAAAGCTCCCCGACTCTTGGGTGCTCCTAGACTAGCAGGGAACACCTGCCAGATATTGACCTGGAACAACCCCCTCCCATCCACCTTCCTATCCCCCTATGTCACCCCCTCCTCTGTGTACTGACCCCAGAGCAAGTGCTAATGCTTCTAAGTCCCCCTCGGAGGGCGGGGGGAAGCAGTCCCCTTTCTCATATTAATGTGTTGTTGTACGCTCTGCCCCAACCACCAAGTCCCAGTCACTGGCTATTTTACACAGTAACAGAGACAGGGGAGAGCTGTGACAGTAGAGTCTGCTTTGGAAAGGCAGGCAATATATTTCCCCTCCTGGCCCACTTGAAGAAACTATTAATGAGGTGCCTTGAACCCACCAAAGAATGTGTTCGATTATTGAAAAGTGGACTTCCAAAATCTCCAATGGGCTTTGGGTGAATAGAAAGTCATTTAGAAAATGATAGTCATCGGTCTTTGCATTATGAAGTATGTGGCCTAGGGCCTGGTTTGGAATGGGGATGCCCTGGGAATATGAGGGACAGGAAATAGGTAACTCCACCAATAAGTAGTTGGGGTCCTAAGAAATCTTCACACTGTAAACTGATATTTAACTTTATCAGGATCAGTTCCCCAAAAAGGGGTTAAGAGCATTGAGTGAGAGTGGGGTTGGAAGTAGGGGTGACTGTAGGAGCCTGATACTCAGCAGGAATCTGATGCCCTAGACAAAAATGGCTACCAGGGATGACTGTTGTAATCACCCACCAGTGCTGCCCTAGTTCCAGCATTTGGAAAGTCTCTTTACCACCACCTGCACATCAGATTGGAAATCAGATGACAGCTTAAGCATGTTCAGGGAGAAAGAATTTGACCCTTGTTGGGCTGTTGGAATTCAGACATACATATGGGATGCAAGCAATGGTAATTTTTTAAAACCTCAACTTTCCCACATCCTCACTATTGTCAAAAATTCTAAAATTCTAAGGAAACAGAGAAGAGAACAAACCAAAGAGGTCATTGATAAAAATGGAAGACTGCTTAAAAGAGCCTTTTTATTGAATTATTTTTATTGAGGTAACATTAATTTACAACACTGTTTATGATTTAGGGGAACAGGTTCACACCTCTTCAGGTATGTGATCTAGCTCCACCGTACAACCAAAGTACCCATAGTCCACTGGGCTCCTCCCCCCTATGCACCTTAATTATTCCACATGAGTGAAATACCTGGTATTTGTCTCTCTCCTTCTGACTTAAAGTCAATTTTTAAAAACATGTAAACATATGTCATCCCTCCTCCCAGCCCAGGTATTCACAATATTCGTCCCTAGGATCATATTGCAGCGAAAAGAAAAGCACCTTTTGTCAGGGGGAAAAGGCTGTCCTAAAGCTAATCCCATACAGGCTTTGTGGACTCCACCCCCACCCCAGGCCAAAGCCAAAGACACTGGGAACTCCACATCCCGTCCCCACTAAAGGGAAGGTGGCTGGGACCTGACGGTGGGGTTCAGCAGCCAGGTTGGTATAAAGCCAGACACATGGGCTTTGGGAGGGGGGCCCCCCATTTTGGCTCTCCGCCAGCTCACAGCGTTGGGCCAGCTCTGAGAGTGACTTTGGGTTTCCAGGTCGGCGGATCGGGTAGGACGCATGAAAGACTTTATTTCCCTATTTTCTCCCTGAGTTGTACATTTCCTTATTTCCTTTTCCCTTGTAAATAAACCTTTTATTAATCTTTTGTGTGTGCCTGGAGTGGAGTATTCATAAGTCCCTTTTAAGCGCAGGGGTGAGGACCCACAGCCAGGAACCGGTTCAATATCGGGGCTGCCCTATAACACTTTAAACAGCCAAGACCACACAGATCAGTGACTCTGATTCTTTTCAAAGTAACTAGAATGTTTTCAAGGCTACAAAATTGGTCAAGTTACACTGTATCCAGTGTATGTGTGTACTGGATGCAAATGTGTATAAATATTGGGTACATTCTTTTCGAGTCAGCTTGCTTATTCTACAAAGCAGTCAACATACATCCTATGAAATCAATTATGAATTACCTATTTAACTTATAATCAATTCTCACTTTATTACATCCGAGAAGATATTTTGGGTTTTGTACACACTGTTCACAAAGCACAAAATTATTTTCTATTCACTGAACCAACTCATTTTTAGCACCAAACACCTTCTCATCTCATTACCTTCTTAAAAGTTTAATCGTTATACCTAAGAAATTTGTGGCGTTTCGCAAAATTTTTGTGGACGGTCATATTTAGCTATTCCCAAAAAGTCCAATATGTTTGACACACCATGTAGACTGGAGAAATGGTACGAGCATTTGCTCATACCATACAGTAAGTATCACACTTTTGGCAAATAAAGTACTGTGTTTTGATGGTTAAAGGAAACTGCCACATCCCCCTCTGTTCATAACTAACAGTTACATCATGTTAGTGGCCATTTCTTTCAGTCACAATCTTTTCAAATTCATAGTCATTTGATGTCATGGGCAAAGCCTGTTTGGTAGATTTCCCAGAAACTGAAGAAGTGAAGCAACAGGCCTAGGTAAACAAATCCTTTGGCAAGGCAGGTGATTTTCAACTCTTGACTTTCAAGAAAAGTGGGGGACCTCCCTGAATACCCGGCTTCCAGATCATCAACTCTAATTTCCCCAGATCTGGACTTGCGTGAAATTGTTGTAGAGCAACCCCGATACAAAACAGGGTGTCTGACTGTGGGTCCTCACCCGCGCTTAAAAGGACTTATCAGTGCTCTACTGCAGGCACACGCGAAAGGTTCATAAAAGGTTTATTGACAAGGGAAGGGGAAATGAGGAAATGTGCAGCTCAGGGAGAAAAGTGGGAGACAAGGTTTTAAATGCATCCTTCGTGATCCGCTGATCAGGAATCCCAAATGGCTCTCTGAGAACTGCCGCCAGCCAGGAGCCCTGAAGCCAGGAGGCGAGGGACAGAGCGAGAGACCCCAAGGCCCAGTGTTTGGTTTTTGTATCCAGCCTGGCTGCCCAACTCCACCCTCAGGTCCCAGCCACCCTCCCTTTGGTGGTGACGGGATTTGTCTTTCCCAAAGTCCTGATAACTTTGATCTGGAGTGGGGGTGGCGTCCACACAGCCTGGATGGGATTAGCTCAGGACATCATTTCTCCCTAACAAAATCACCATAAAACCAGGCCCAGCACCGGGGGCTTCCAAGTTACAAAAAGCAGAGCCGGTCGCAGGACTGAAGCCCTCCCTGCTCGTTCTGACGAGACATCGGCCGCAGCAGCGCGAGTTCAAAACCCAACACCCACTTCACGAGGCGCATTTGCCATCGCCTGAATAATTATAATATTAATATAACAATTATTAGTCGATTGAATAATTATGACAAATCGTAATATTTATTCTGCTTTGATCGCGGACTAACAACCAATTCCAAGTCATCCCAGCGGCGTCAGCCGGGGCCTGGGCAAGTCACTGCAGGCTGGGGGGGCAGTTTTCTGGGGTGCCAAGGGGGCGTCGACCCCGGGCCTAGCTCGGGGCGCTCGCGAAAGGGGGGCCTGAGCCCGGCGCCCGCGGCCACGGAGCGTGGCCTGTTGGGGTCACGGGTGCATCACCCCAACACGCCCTCGCCCGCGGGGCGCCGGGGCGGGAGGCCGGGGGGCGGGTGCAGGGGCCCCGAGGAGGACCGGGGCGCGCGGGGCGCCAGCACCCCGGCTGCGGCCCCGGGCCTGGGCCTGGCGGCGCCCGACAGCGGCCGGGAGCGCCGCCGCGTCGCGCGGGAAGCCCAGCGAGCCGGGGAGCCGGCGCCCCCCGCCCGCGCCCCCCCCCGCGCCCCGCCCCCGCGCCCCCGCCCGCGCCGCCGCCGCCGGCCACGCGAGGGCGCCCGCGGCCGGAATTGGCCCCTCGCGGCCGCCGTCGCCGCCCGGCCGGCCCGCCCCGCGCCTTCCCCCGCGTCCCTTTCACTTCCGGGAGCGCCGGGCCCGCTGGTTCCGCCACAACATCCCGTCGGCCGCCCCGGCGGCGGCTCCGCAGCGCGCCCGCCCGCCCGCCCGCCCGCCATGGCCACCAACCCGCAGCCGCAGCCGCCGCCGCCCGCGCCGCCGCCGCCCCCGCCGCAGCCGCAGCCGCCGCCGCCGCCGCCCGGCCCCGCGGGGGCCCGGGCGCGGGCGGGGCGGGCGGCGCCGGGGCGGGCGCGGGGGACCCGCAGCTCGTGGCCATGATCGTGAACCACCTCAAGAGCCAGGGCCTCTTCGACCAGTTCCGCAGGGACTGCCTGGCCGACGTGGACACCAAGGTGCGGGCGCGGGGCGCGGGGGGGGCGCGGGGCCCGGCCCGGCCCTGTGGACCCGCGCGCCCCGCCGCGGCCCCCCCCGGCGCGGACCCCGCGGGCTGGTGGGGGAGCCCGGGTTGGGGGCGCCCGGGTTGGGGGGCGCGGGCGCCGAGCGGGGGGCCCTGGGCGCTCGCGGCTCCCGCGTCGCGGTCCCTGCGCGGTTGGGGTGTCGCCGCCCCTGGGGCTCGGGGCGCCGAGGGTCACGCCGCTGCCCTTGGGCGCCCCGAGGGGGGGCCCTGCCCGTGGGCCGCGGGGCGCGGCGGGGCGCGGGCGGAGCTGGACCCCGGGAGCCGGGCGCGGGCCGGGCCGGGCCGGGGCCTGCCGGGGATCGGGGTCGCCCGGGCGGTGCCCAGACCCGCGCCCTGAGCAGGCGCAGCCCGAGCCGAGCCGGGGCCCGGGGCCCGAGAAGGTGGGCTGGGGGGACCCCCTGTCCAGTGGGGACGCCCTGGGCTGCAGGCGGGAGAGTGACCTCCCGCGCGCGGGTCTCTGACCAGAAGTGGCTAGGGCTGGACCTGGGGGGACCTCCAGGCCCCAAAAGTCAGCGTGAAAGGGGCCTTTAGCAGGAGGAGGTGCATGCAGCTGCTTTGGCAAAGAATAACGGGGGGCTCGGGAAAGGAGCGGTCAGGGAGAAGGGTGGAAAGCCAGTTTCTGGAATCCTGGCAGCAGGTGAAGCAGGAAGCCTGACTTCTGAATAATTGGGAGTTGATTTATTATTTTTTTTCTTAAGCTTAGATCTGCTGGGGTTCATCAAAGTGAAGTTCTGATGGGGCGGGGGCTTTCTCACAGCATCTTTAACACTTGTGTGACATCTTTAACATCCCCAGGTTCTTCCCTCTCACCCAGTGTTCAGTCTTTGAGGCGAACCACACGCTGTCCTGATCCCTTTTGGGAAGCCTTTGCTTCCCTTACAATCCAGGGCAAACTTTTGCCCCAAGTGGACCAGCAGCAGATGGGCCTTTTCCCAGCGCTGGGGTTTTTACATCACGAAGTCCGTTTGCTTGGGGTCTTTGTCTCTGTAGGAACTTTGTAGTTTTCTCTTTTTTTTTTTTTTTTTTTTTTTAAGGGAATGTGGGCAGCCACCTTGCTGAAGATGCCTTTTCTTCTTCTATTTTAACGGTTAAGATTAGACGTGGCCAAGTAAATGTTACCCAAATAAAGTTGGTTACTTGTGTCCCACTTAGAGAGATTCCACTTGGCTGTTCCCAGAAACCTTCAAATCATTGTGTGCAAATTAAAAATTTAAATAGGCTGAAGGGGAAGTGGGGGCAGCTGCAATATACTGAACTTGACTTTTTCTTCATCCTGTCGCCACTAAATGCTGCATGTAGGTAATTTGCCTGCCAGATCCTCACAAAGAGGTGTCCTTCCCTTTCTTTGGGGGGGGGGTAACAACAATATAGTTGCTTTGACAATTGAATGAAACCTAGGACCTTGCCCCAAGAAGAAATGCTCTTCCACACAATACGGTGCTGAATTCCAAAGTGGTTGACGATAGTGAGTTTCCCATGGCTCAACCTGGCCCGTGGTTTCAGGGAGCCCGGCCAGCACAGAATACAGTCCCCTGTCTTAACATTAGCGATGAGAGAATAGAACTGAAGGGACCCCTCCTTCCTCCCTGAAGAAGGGGGGCATGCCTGGGTGTGGTTGACCTTCCTTCCTCAAGCGTCTTCGCCCTCCTCTCTGTGCCTGGCGTTTCAGGTGCCTCGTTCTTTCCTCATGACTGTCCTTCTGCTTTTCTTCCTCCTCTTCGCTGGCCGATATGTGATGTTTTTCTTATTGAGTAGCATTGTATGCACTTTATCTTGTTTGTAAACTTTGAAAGTCTTGAAAACATACAAAAGCTAAAATTTTCTTTCCTATGAAGCTGACGTTCCTGCAGTGTGGGGAATGGGCCAGAATAGAAATAAGATGCCCTGTTCTTGCAGAGGAGCGTCATCCTAATGGAATTCTTGGGCCTCCTCTGCTAAGAACACCTCTTAGTGCAGCCCCCTTACAGTGCTCCTGATAATCAGACCCCGCCGGCTGACCTGCTTTATGTCAAATCCGACCACGTTATCGAGGGCTGTAGCAGTAGCTGGATTGCTAGTCACGTGCATACTTAAGAAGCAAGAAGTCCGATGCCAGCCACTGCTCGCCGAGAGCAAAGATGCCATGCCACCCAGCGAGTACGTAGAAGTCAGGTGACAAGCACCAAAGTCAGTGGTCATTCCAGAAGTCCAGCGAGCCCCCAGCTGTCCTGGACTCATGGGTGACCCTACACTAGCCAAGACAGAGCAAGGGATACAGCCCATGCACTCGAAGAATTGCACCCGTGGGCAGCCCCAAGGTGCAGCTAATCCCGAGGCTCCTCCCCTGCTCCATTCTGCCCCCTTTGTTAGCAACTGGACAGTGTGAGGAGGGAGGTCAGAGGGACCCACCATTCTGTCCCTGGCAGAATCCCCCACCAGGTAAGCGCCACCCTCTCCCCGAGTGGTGAAGGCCAATCTGGTGACACTTCTCAGTAATGGGTTCTGGTCCCGTGATTATTGTCTGTCGGGGCAGTCGGGGGGGGGGGTTCAAAAGGAATGTCAGACGCTGAAGTATGTAACTTTATTCAACACAAAATGTTTGTTATGTCCCTGGTTTTAAGTGCCAGCGATGAGCACAATTCGCTGCTGTTGCGGAACTTGCATCCCAGCAGAGGAAACCAGGCAGTGCGATGGCGGCTGTGGGGCAGCAAAGCAGGGCAAGGCTGGCGAGGAAAGCAGGCTTTGTGTCAGTTTGTCAGTCACTTATAAGTTCCATAACTTGGGGAGCACAGCTTCCCCCCCCCCCCCCGCCTGTGCACACGCTCCACCTGCCCTCCGCCACAGCTCCAGGGCCGACGTCAGACCCTTCCTTCCCCATGCCCCTCCCCGCGCCCCGTGCTGGCCCCCAGTGCACTCCTCGCAGTGACAGTTGCTTGTCTTGAGTAAGTGTTCAGGGAGCTGTCGTCCCTGTGGACCAACTGAGGGGTCCTGCGTCAGTCGCGATTCCCAGTAGACACCCCGGGTGTGCAGAGCCTCTGAGGGAGAGGCGACGGTGGGGGTGCCCTCCCTCCCTTTGAGGGTCTGCCTGGCTGGGGAGCCAGGGTAAGAGTTTGGCTCTTACTCAGCTGAGTAGCCATTGGCGGGGTGAGTGTAAGAGGAGCGTGACCCGACTTGAGATGGACCGAGCAGGCGTCGTTGGTCACTGCTGCCACTTTCCCTTTGGTCGAGGTCCCAGGTGGGTAATGCGCTGTGTGGTCACCTTTAATTTTAGAAGATTACCCCAGCTGCTATCTGGAAGGTAGACTTTGGGGGGCCAAGGGAAGGAGCCGGGAGGCCAGTGATTATCAGTGGGACAGGAGGGGAGGCTGCCTTGCGCCCGGTGGTCGCAGCGAAGGCGGTGGGGAGGAGCCAGCTTCTCTTCCTGCAGAGAAAGGGAGCCTCGGGGATGGCTCCCAGGCGTTCCGGAAGCCCTGGGGAAGGAAGGGGCGTGTGTTTTCCAGAAGAGGAGTCCGTGGCCTGCTGTCTCCAGGCTTCGTGCTGGGGTGGATAAATAGTCCCTTTCCCCAGATACAGAGTAAAGCAGGATTCTCCAGCGACAGCAGGCCTGGAAGGCGGAGCGGCGGGTCCTGGGCTTCAGCGGCGGCCTGTCGCTCTTTCCGTCCCTGTCCCGCACAGCTGAGTGCTCCTTGCCCCCAAAGCCAGAGCCCTCCCGCCTGCCAGGCCGTGTCTCAGCCTCCTCTCCCACATTCTCTTCTCCAAGCTGGACTTGCCCAGTGCCCTGACCCCGCTGTGTTCCCAGCCGCCTGCCCTTCACCTGTGCTCTCAGTGGTGCCCGCAGGCCGGGCACCCGCTGTCCAGCTGCGGAGAGGCCCCGCGGGTCCGGGCAGCGGCCACCTCCCAAGGAGGTCTGGCTTCGTCTCTGCCGCTGCAATTCTGTGCCCAGGCACGGAGCTTTTGTTTCTGCCTTACCTTACAGTCACTTGCCAGCAAATCAAAGGCACCTGTCTGTCTCCTCGCCCTGGCATCTGCAGACCTCCCAGCTGTGTTTGCATGTCTAAGGGGAGATGAGCCGGGTAATGATACAGGCGCCTGGGCCTTCAGGACCTTAAGACAACCAGGTTTTAACAGTTGTGTGTTTTCTTTTCTTTCTAGCCCGCCTATCAGAATCTCAGACAGCGTGTTGACAACTTTGTTGCAAACCACTTAGCAACGCACACATGGAGTCCCCACCTCAATAAGAACCAGCTAAGAAACAATATTAGACAGCAAGTGCTCAAGTAAGTCTCTCCCAGACACAAGGGACACGCCTCAGAAGTTGGTTAGCTGTTAATGAATGTGCCCCATCCCTGGCTGCTTCATGATGGGATACCCCGTAATTTTTAATTTTAATTTTAGATTCGGTGCTGAGTGTTTCCACCGTGCGTTCTACTTCTGCTCCCTCCTGTAGACCCTCAGAAGTACTTGGGCGAAGGGGATGGCAGTGAGGCTTAAAAAAAAATGTTTAGATGTAATATTAACAGACAGTAAGTGTCCGGATGGCTTGCAGGGTAACATAGTTTTCTTTCTGTCTTCCGGCACAGCGCTCTCTTTTTCTGTTGCCATGACCTTAGCTCTGCTTTTGAAGGATGATGCAGCCAAAAGAGGGAAAAAGTGCATTTGAACAGGTCAGGGCCATTTTGGGGAGGAACATAAGATAGAGAATAAGAAGAGCTGAATTTTAGCTTTAAAAAATTCTATTTATTCCCCCCAAAAGCAGATTTACAATATTATCTTCTTCTTGGTTATAAATATTTGGCGGGACTCAGCCCTTTTCTCCTGGCTTTACTCCCTCAGAAGGGTGACTAAGTTATTTAAAGAGCTCCCAGTCTTCCTGCCTTGACAAATATTTATGTTTAAGCTGCTCTTGTAGAATGAAACGTGGCATGTAAACAGTTTTGCACATCTGCTTTATGCCCGCCACTTGCGTTGCCTCCTGGCCCCAGGGGGCCTCTAAGGCCCAGCTTGCTGCCCATGGACAGCCCTGACCCACGCAGAGCCCCCAAATAAATTTCCAACTCTCACTTGAAGACCCATTTAGCCATTGGTAACACGGGAATCCAGGACCTGGGGCTCAGACCTGTCTCCTTGTGCATAAGAGAAGAGGGACATTTAACAAGAGCTTGGTTTAAGTTTTTAAAGCATGTGTGAGAAATTGGGAGAGAGACCCGGTCAGAAGATGCCGCGGGGGCTGTGGGGTTGTGGGGTGACGCTGGAGGGAGAAGCCTCCCTGAGAAGGAAGAGATGGAGGATCTCAGACCGCGGCAGGCTGACGGTTGCTTATTTCAGGCTTCCTGGAGAAGAGCAACTGAAATAGCAGGGACCTGGGGATCAGTGCACAGGCACCCACACCCTCACCCACAGCGCCCCTGCCTGCACAGTGCCTTTGGCGTAGCTCCCGCCCTTTCACAGATGGTTGAGGTCCTCGATGAGGAGGCTCAGGGTTCAATGATGGTAAGGCTGACAAAAAGGTCCCAGCTCACGAGCGAAATGACTTTATTCAAAGTTATTCCAGGACACGGTTTCCTAATGCCGTCCTCTGGCTTAAAGCTGCAGTTTCCGAGAACCTGTCCGCGTCAGGGAGGACTGCAGTGGGGTCTCACACCCTTTCTTCGTAAGTTGAGAGGTTATGGCGATTGCATTGCGTCCTCAGCATGCAAAACCTGTAAAGTAGGAAAGTCGTCCTTCTGTTCCCTTAAGGAAGCCAAGCTCACGCGTGCCCATGTAAAGCCTGGCACTCAGATTTCTCCTCCCAGCCGAAGGCGTGGTTCCCATGAGCCGTGCTCTGCCAGGGGTTGCGCTCAGCAGTGCGGGGTTCTGGAGCCTGCCAGTGGTGTGCCTGTGGGGTGAGGGCTTCCCCCTGGAGACATTTCAGGACAAGGGAAACAGTCTTGGGTAATTTAGGCAATTGCTCTTCCTAGAACAGCTGTACAAATTTTTTCTAGCTATTCTTTGTTTTTGTTACTTATTTGCTGTACATTTGTTACTTACATCTTGTTTTGTCCCTTTGGTTTTTATTTTTAAATGAACGGTTCTCTTACTTAACTCCTAGTGAAGTTATGTCACTAATTTTTTTTTTTCTTAAAAACAAAAACCAAACTCTTTCACTGTATTCAAATTAATGGTATAGAGATGGGCCAGCCCCTAGAAATAAAATTGCAAACAAATTTTCATTTATATACTTGAGAAAATTCACAGGTATACTTTGTAGAAGGTTGAACCATCTCTAATTGCCATTTTTGCAGGATGAACATAGTCTAATACCAGCCATTTCAGGTGGCTCAGCTTATTCAGGTAATCTGCCCCAAAAAATCTTACTTTATTCCTTCATTTGGGCCACAGAATTTAAATGCTAGGTAGCTCTAAGCAATGATCTGAGCTGTGCAGAATTTTTTTTTTTTAAATGTTTATTTATGCATACTAGAGTTGGGGTGTAGGCCAGAGGTGCCAGGGGAGCAGGGGGAGGAGAGGACTCACCAGAGACAGAGTTGGGAGCAGAACAGGCAGATCTACTAAAATACACTGCTGAGGGTAACAATGGGCGAGGCGGAAGAGGTCTGCTGTGCCATGGCCTTAGCAACCTGGCTGGGGATCGAACTCGTGCTGCAGTGGCTGCCAATAGCTTCGCAGTGCTGACACTTAGCCCCTTGTGCCACCAGGGAGGCCCCAAGCCTAACAGAATTTTAAAGGACACAAGGAATTCTCTTTAACTGGGAAAATGTCAGCTGTCCTGTTGCCTTTGCCCTTGAACCCAAGGCTGTAGTTTCTCAGCCTCTGGTGAGGTCCTGGCTTTGGCTATTCCTCATGAGAGTGGGTCCACTCAGGGTAGGGTGGTCATCAGCACTGGCCTTCATTTTTATTTAAGATCAGAGCTTCCTCAGTATCAGTGGAGTAAAGCAAATGAGGGGCCAAAATACAGGCAAACAGACTAAGCCAATATTTTTTTTGGTGGGTGAGGGGTGTATTTTTTTGTTATGCCTTTGTACATGTGTCTTAAAACACTGAAGATTGCTTGTCCTTGTTTCTTTCCCACCTGCTACCTTTTAAAGATGCCCCTAAGATGTAAGAATGTTGGCAGGATTTGTGGGTTTTATTTAAAATCTTAGAACTTTGAAAAGCAGGTTACCTACTTTGTGTGGTGTTGGCTCATTTTTCTCCATGGCCCACATAAGTAGCAGCATAGTATCACAAGCTGCTGGTACCTCAGGAAATGAAAACCAAATTCATCGTCCACTCCAGACAGAGCTGTACTCAAAAATAGCCTGGGAACAGTACGGAGAGACACCTCAGCCATTGTTCAGAGAGCGCCTGAGGCCTCAAAGCTGGGAATGGCCCACGCCCATCAGCACTGCCCAGGGAACTTGCGCTCCTCCCTGGCTCTTTTAGGAAGAAGCAGGTTTAAGTGGGTTTCTTAAGATAAATATTTTGCTCAGACACCTTAGTGATTTTCTGCACATTTCAAACTTAGTTCCCTCCTTGTTCCTCTGCCTCTTATACACGTTATTTCTTCAGATGCTCTCATCCTCTTCTCTGTGGAAATCAGGACGCAGCTCAGAGTTCTTCTTTGTGGAACATTCTCACTTTGTCTCGGCTTGTGTAGGCATTCCTGTCCCACTCTCCTCCTGCAGTGCCTGGTGTGTATTCACACCTGTCATCCATGTCTTGATCATTTGTGTCTATTTCACTCACCCGGCAGGGGCCAGGTCTGATTTGTAGCTGCCCAGAGGCCAGCACTCTGCCCATTGTGTAGAAGAGACTCGGAACATAATTATTGAATGAATAAATCATCCAGGTTTTATAGCAGGAATATAAAAAGAGAAAGTGTGATGTCTTATTTTTGATGTCCGAAAGTTTTTTCTGTTTTTGCAAGCCCGATGCAGTTCCCTTGAGTGTATTCTTTCTACCCAGAACTCAGTGGAGTGACCATTTCTACCTGAATGATGCAGGTGGGGGGGTGTGGGGAGGGGAGCATCACCTGTAGGCCTGGGCCCAAGACCGCACACTGTGCGTCCTGTCTGAGGGTGGCTTGTTTTGATTTTGGAGTTTCATTTTTGAGTGTTTCCACTGCTGACCCGGGTGCCAGGTCACATAGCAATTTGTGGTCGGTAGGTATGTCTAGCTGCCGCTGCCGCTACACTTGGACTAACTTCCGTGTGTGTGCTTTCTATATCCAGTGGAGTGGATTGGGGGCAACTTAAGGTTGAACGTGTGTGTAACAGATACCATTTTCCTTAAAAGTAAGTCATGGAAATGATAGAAATTGTTTTTACCTTTCTGCAAATCATCCTGTGTTTCAGATCAGGAATGTTGGAGTCTGGTATTGACCGAATTATTTCTCAGGTTGTGGATCCAAAGATCAACCACACATTCAGACCTCAGGTGGAGAAAGCTGTGCATGAGTTTTTGGCCACATTAAATCACAAAGAGGAAGGGAGTGGCAGCGCCGTGCCCGATGAGGAGAAAGCGGACTCTTCGGGCTTGACACAAGGTGCATTGCTTTCCCTTGGCCAATTCCCTGGCTTCTGTTCCTGGACTGAGCAGCACGCTCGAGAATACTTGGGTCTTTGACACATTCAACTGCCTATCCTTGTGTGTATTTTAAATATCACGCAGTTTCCTCAACTGGCATTACATTAGTGTAAAATGTAGGCATTTTAGTAGTGTACTGGGATGTTGGTGTGTTTTTCAGTAGAGGGACTAACTGAAATAGAGAAGCGGGGTGGGGGAGGTTAGACAGTTTTCAGATTTGTTTGGTGCCTTTCCATTCAGAGACGTAGACATTCGGTTTAGAGAACCAGAATTTAGGATGTGCTGGGTACTACCCCTGGTACCTCGAGTCTGTACCCGAGCACATGTGAATGGGATCACGTCAAGACAGCAGGCAAGTAAAGGGATTCAGCAGAGGGACAGATCTTCTGCCTAAATGTATTCTGACACTTGTCTTTTCTCAAAGGCGCCCCTGCTCCTGGGCCAAGTGTTAATGCAGCCAACGATGCTATGTCCATCTTGGAGACGATAACTTCGCTGAACCAAGAGGCAAGTGCTGCCAGAGCTTCGACAGAAACACCAAATGCCAAGAGCATTGAGAGAGGATCCAAAAAGCTCTCGTCTCAGCCAAGCACTGACACCAGTACTGAGAAAGAGAGAACTTCAGAAGATATGACTGATAAAGAAAAATCTGTGCCCGACTCTGGGGGGGAGGCCCAGGAAACAGCCCCTAAGTCTGAAGAGCTTAGTGACCTCCCTTGTCCAGTTGAAGAAATTAAAAATCACGCAAGAGAGAATAATAATTCAGCTCCACTCAATAAAGAGGTTCAACCAGAAAGCAGTGACCAAAAAAATAAATCAGCAGACAAGGGTGAAAAGAAACCAGACAGCAATGATAAAGGAGAGAGAAAGAAAGAAAAGAAGGAAAAGACAGAGAAGAAATTTGATCACTCAAAAAGAAATGAAGATACACAAAAAGGGAAAGATGAAAAGCAAGCAAAGGAAAAAGAAGTAGAGTGTGCAAAGCCTCCTTCAGAAAAGAATAGTAATAAAGCCAAAAACAGTGAAGGGACAAAAGAAGGTAGGTAAAGGCTTGTGAAATCTACTCATTCAATCACTCCTTGGGAGTCCGGTGTCAAATTTCCTTTCAAGTTTTAGTAAATTTATTTGAAACTTACATTCAAAAGTCTGAAAACTCATATCCCCTTTGCTAAAGAATGAGCAATAAACATTTGTAAATTTCTCTTCTATGTTGATGTATTAGTTCACAAAAGTAAATGAAAAGCTGGAAACCTTATGATTTAATGCTTATAATTTATTTGCATGTATTACTGGAAGTAACTTAATTAGTAATTGTGTACCCTAACCTAAATACTAGATTGTTGATATTTCAGTGCTTCACATTTGCTTTTGTTTATGTCATTTGCATCATAAATTAGTAGTTTCTTTTATAGGATACTAGTTTGTGCTTTCTGGAAACAGCCCTGCCTTAATTGATAACAGTAACTAATCATGAGAAGACTTCATTTCTTTTCTTTTTTTTTAAACATTTATTTTATTTATTTATGCATACAAGAGCTAGGCCAGGGGTTGGGGGGGGTGAGAGGATTCACCAGAGACAGTGAAGAACAGAATACGCAGATCCACTGAAATATACTGCTGAGGGGAGCAGCAGGGAGACAGGAGAGGTCTGTTCTGCCATGTGGGTAGCTCCCTGGCTGGGGATTGAACTCATGCTGCAGTGGCTGCCATAGCTTCATCGTGCCGAGACTTAACCCCTTGCGCCACCAGGGAGGCCCAGAAAAAAACTTCATTTCTGAGGTCGACATTCTTTGACATGTATTTTTAAAGTAGATATTTTAAGCAATTTAGGAATTGAGATCTGAGAGTGTTCATAACAAGGCGATCCTGTATTTTCGTCCTAGATTGCTCTCTGATGGGGTCTGATGTGGACGGGCTTACAGACATCACGGTGAGCTCTGTCCATACCAGTGACCTTTCATCTTTTGAAGAAGACACCGAGGAGGAAGTAGTAATGTCTGATAGCATGGAAGAAGGAGAGATTACATCAGATGGTAAAGCATTTTACTTAGTAATGCCTCTGTGAAGCTTCCCGTCGAGCATTATTTGTATATTCAGATGGCTATATCGTGAGAGACAGTGTGGTGTAGTGGCAAGAGCATGGGACTTTGTAGTTGGAAGATTGGTTTCTGAGTCCCAGCTCCGAGGTTGTCTGAGCAAGCTTGGTAAGTCACAAAATCTCAACAAGACTTGGTTCTCCATCTCTTAATCCATCCATTAGGATGAGATAAGATTTAGAATAGATAATGTATATGAAGATGCTATGTATGGGATTGTGGGTATGTGGGTGGCCTTTCGGGGGGCACAGTCCAGAAGAAAGCCCTCACTTCTGACACTAGTTGCAAGCTTGTAGTCCCTGAGACCACCATTGGGCTTGGTGATTCACTCACAGGATTCACAGAGCTCACTGAAAACTGCTGGCTGCATGGCTGCAGGTGGTGGCAGGTAAGGAAGACAGATTGACCTTGGCCGAGAAATTTGCACCCGAAGCAGAGTCCAGAAAGTTAGAGTACTGAGCTTCCGTCTGTTCTTTCTCTGGAGTTGTGGAGAGCATTAATTTCCCGGCATTGGTATCTGACATTACTCACTGATTTGCCGACCATGGCATGTGCCTGGAGCCCGACTCTCCGAGTTTCCTTTGGCTTCAGAGCCATAGCTGTCCTGTCCACGTGTCTGGCTCATTCTCCAGTCAAGCTGATATCCGTGATCCGAAGTTGTCACCCCAGATCACACTGATAGATTGACCCAGGACCCCCAGGTGATGTCAGGCATGGCATTCCAGAGGCTTAGAGGTCACCTCTTTGGAGCCACTGGCGAAGACCAGGCCTCTTTCACTCTACAGTTCGTTCTTCACCTGACCCTCCTAAGCACAGGCCGTGCATCACTGTGCCAAGTGGGTCTGGGCCCCACCTAGTATAGTCCTCACAGGTCCAGGTGGAGAAGCATCCCCAAGGGACACTGTCCCGGCCAGGGTCACATAGCTGGGCACTGTTAGATTTCATGTATGACCTTTTTAAAAATCAGAAATACTGGAAATGATTTTCAGTGACCTTGAGGCAGCTTCTTCTAAATTTGCTGCTGACTTTTGGACAAAACACCTAGAGAGAACACAGAGGAGGAAAAGCAGAAACCACAGATGTGTTTTTTAGTCTCTCTCGATTTTCATTCTTAATATCCATGAAAAAATTAAATGATGAACTCAAAAAAATCACCTGTAGCGCTCCCTGCTTTTCCCATCTGACTGAGAGGCCTGTTCTGTGAGCCCATGGATCCTGCTGTCCCATGCACACTCCCCTCTCCAGCCTGCCTAGATGATGTTTTGAGTCTTTTTAAGGTTTTTCCTGGACAACTAGATTTTTTCAGTAGGGGATCCAAAAAGTAAAAATAGTCTGTTTTGAGAGTACTAAGCAGTATGAGATATAAACCTCGCTCATGAGTTTTGTTTTTTTTTTTTTCCTTTTGTTACTTTTTGCTGTATCCTGGGGCATCAAATCTGCTTTCCTAGAGGGTTTTGGTATATGTTTACCAGTTAGCCTCTGGTAAATGCAAGTCCTGCAGCTGGTCACTGAAATCTCAGCTTCATGTGGGTGCAGCTTAACCGTGGCAAACACTCATACCTGTCCACTGCCATATAGTGAGAATCAACTATTTGACAAGAGAACATAAGTAATTATAAGACTGACTTCTTTCTTCATGTGTATGAACCTGATTGTTAGGAAATAAGTTAAGATACAAATTAGGTAGCCTTTAAGAATGTCAGTTTGAATTCGCACATACTGACATGTCCTCTGCTGGACCTATGACTGCACTGAAACTATATTGGTGTGCTTTATTGCTTGAAGTTGATCAAACAACGTAGGTTTCATTGCTAAATCGCAGAAGTACCCCTCTCTCTGTTGACTTTCTTCCAGATGAAGAAAAAAGCAAACAGAACAAAACAAAAACTCAAACCAGTGATTCTAATGAAGGAAAAGCAAAAAATGTACGGCACGCTTATGTCCACAAACCCTATCTCTACTCCAAGTATTACAGTGATTCTGACGATGAGCTTACGGTGGAACAGCGGCGACAGTCTATTGTAAGTCAGACTTTTCTGGTTTTGTTTTCATCTGTTAAATCAGGTTGGCAAACTAGACTAGTCTGTGTACAAGGTACTGGTGAGTGTATGAAAGTAGGTTGTGCTGTCAGGAATCTTGTCATTTAACAGCAGAATAGTCATAACCAATGTGACAGAAGTGACATGTCATTGTAAGTAACAGTAGCTTGATAGCCCAAACGTTTCATGTTATGGAGATGTGTGACTGAAACCTACAAATGTGTGATTTGCAGCCATTAATTTAATAACAAAATGTTAACATGTTTCCTGGATTTGAAAATGCTTCTAATTTTAAAAACATGTCATTAAATTATTAACAGCTTTTTAGGGGGAAAAATGCTACCTCACTGAATGCGTATATCAGCTTTAAGATGGCTTGCAATTTCAGAAACACTAAAATTAAAAGAAGCTCTTACAGGGCCTCCCCGGTGGCGCTGCGGGTTGAGCACCACGCTGTGAAACTGTCCGCAGCCTCTGCAGGGCTGGTTCAATTCCTGGCCGGCCAGGGAGCTACCCACATGGCGCGGCAGACCTCTCCTGTCTTGCCCGCTGCTCCCCTCAGCAGTGTCTTCGGTCTGTTTGCCTGTTCTGCTCCCCGCTTTGTCTCTGGTGAATTTTTTCACCCTCCCGCACATCTGGCCTGTACCCCAGTTCTTGTATAAACAGATAAATCTTAAATAAGGAGGAAAAAAAAAAAAAAAGCTCTACATCTTCAAAATAGGAAACATTAATCCACAGAGAAATAACTTGAAGGATGCACACCGGAATGTTAATGGTGGCCTATCAAGTAAAAGTTACTTGACCAGAATTACGCCTGTGCTTAGGACTTGGCGCACTTTGTGTTCTAGCCCAGGACTAGATTCTCCCTGGCTTTAAAATAGGACAGCAAAAAAAATCCCACATCCTAAACCTGCAAGTCTCATTGTTGTAGCTCTAGCCTGTCACTTGAATCTGCATTTCAACTTTGCCCTGTAAGAGTAATGGAGAAATCTGGAGGCCTGCATAGATACACTTGATGCTTATGTGTATTTTCATAACTGTCCTTTTCATTGAAGTAGCCAGCTTATTAAAACACCATTCACAAAACAATTCCTCTCTCATTCTTCAAATCAGTGGCGTTCTTCAGATCTGTCTCTTTTATTCTTCTGGTAGCTTCCAAATTATGGAGTGTAATTGCACTTTTGCAGAGTCCAGTAATTTGTAAGACCCTCTGAGGGGCACACATTTTTTTTCAGTCTTTTTCTTTTACCTGATAATGTATCAGGATAAGCATGCCTATTTTATGGTTTTAGGCTAAAGAAAAAGAGGAGAGGCTTATAAGAAGGCAAATTAATAGAGAGAAACTGGAAGAAAAACGAAAACAGAAAGCAGAAAAGACGAAGTCTTCAAAAGCTAAGACCCAAGGTATGGGATATTATTGGGATGTTAACTTTGTAATGTGTTGAACTAGCTCGTTTTATGCTCTTTCATTTTCTAGGTTGTCATATTACTGCTTATGAGATATGCTTATAAAATGATCTGAAGTGTATCTTAATAAAGCTATACATTTTTCTAATTATCTATTTTCAAGAGTGGAAGATTTACGTTTTAATAAACCTGGTGTGTTTAGCCATTCTTTCTTTATTATATTGCTGTATCTATGTGAAACAGCTCAAGTCTGCCAGCTCACACAGCGCATGGGTCAGCAGTTTATTTTCCAATGATTGTGAAATTAATTATCACTGGAAAAATGGACTGTTAACATGTGAGTAATCAAGCCTTGCAGGTGATGCTAATGGAATTAATGAATACTTTGTTAACTACAGTGTCAAACATTTGTCTGGAACGTTTCATTGATCAAAATTGCCTTTCTTCTGAACTCTGCTATTCTTGCCTAGTATACAAAACAAGCAAATATGATCTTTTAAAATAAAAATGATAAGACTTCTCCATCTAAAATGTTATTTTTATTCCAGCAGAGCCTAAAGATATTAATGCCATTTTGCATTCTCATAGAGATTAGAAAATGTTAATGAAAAATTGATAAAGGTTACACTGTTCATAAAATTCTCTTCTAAAATACAGTTTATTGATTGCTTCTTTCACAGGCAAAAGTAGTATGGACTTAGAGGAATCATCAGCAAAGAGTCTGGAACCCAAAGCCCCCAGAATTAAAGAAGTCCTTAAAGAACGGAAAGTCCTAGAGAAAAAAGTAGCCCTAAGCAAAAAAAGAAAAAAAGATTCCAGGTACGTGTTTTATCTGGCCACATTCCCATTGTAGCATTCTCCTGGCATGCTTCTAGAAGAGAGGCAGTGAAAATGACAAGTAGAGAGCCAGACCTTGGATGTGTGTTATTACATGTTTATAAAAGATCTTATTTTGCTTTTAGCATCATGGTGCATAGTGTCAGAATGTCTGTAATATTGCCAAAGAGCGTATCTTAATCCTTTGGGTGCTTCCAAACCTATTTGAGAGGAGATTGATATTTTAGACTTCCCCAGAAAAGTCAACCTACATAAGCACACAGTTGTCCTGGAGTTGCAGAGTTTCTGGAAGTCTGCAGTAAGTGTCTGTGTTCTGGACATTTGGTAACCTCATAGGTACGATGGTTAAATCCTTTCTCCAGTATTTCTAGGTGGTCCTCTTCCCCATTGTTCCAAATGCTTTTTCACCGCTGCAGTATTGTGGTTAGTGCTGTCAGAATTAGAAAGCGAGAGAGACTCTAACAGTGACTATGAAGTTGTGTGAGCCTTGGGCTACAGTTTGCTCTTCCTTTGGGATGCGGTTAAGTAAATCTATCATGGACGCCAAGGTCCCGAATCAGTAATTTACAGACCTCACTGAGAAGAGTCGGCTTTCAGTTTTCTTATACCACGTGCCTATTAATTTTGAATAAATCACGCTACTCTCTTTACTCAAAAGATGGAAAACTTTCAAAATATAATTATGGCCCATAAGATACCCACCCTCAAGCAACAAATTGGAAGTTTTTGTTTGACATCTACTTTCCTTTAGCTCCGAAGTAACTCATGTCACCTTTGGGATTGGTTCTTCTCTGTTGACAAAGGCTTTAAATTAGTATGTAACAAGTCTTCTTCATTTGTGGATCAAGTGTTTATCATAAAGGAAAGCTGAATTTTTTCTTTTTAAGCTTCCTGGGAAATTCTTTCATTTGTTTCAAGCAAAGTTCATATCTGACTTTTTTCCCCCACTTAGGAGTGTTGAAGAAAATTCTAAAAAGAAACAGCAATCTGAAGAAGATTCCAAAGAAACCCTCAGAGCAAATGAGGTGTGTCTTAATTAATAAAACTCCCTTTAACATTTTTTGTTAGCTATAGGCCATTTTATGTTTTGAGTAAATTTTCCAAGTAGAACAATCCCTCACGTTCAGTATTCTTGGAACCCTTATCCTATGAAGGCCTGAATTCCTCATTTTGAGAAATTGTTTCCTATGATCTTTTATCTCATAATAGCTGCTTTTCCACCCCCTCGCCTCCATATTTGCAATAACAAAGTTGCTGTAATAATAATGAAAAGACAAAGGGGAAAAACTAAAATCCCTCCACAGTAGCAAACCCTCTTTCACCTTCTTGCATTCCTCCTGCACAGATGATCATGATTTTGTGGTGTGGCTATAATCTCACAGAATCTCTTTAATGTTCCTTCTTACTCCTGTTACCTTGTAAGCTTCCTAATCGTAAATTTAATGATCCATTGAATAAATGGAAATATCATATTTAAAGCATTTTTTGTAGTTGAATACTTTGATTATTGCCAAGATTTAATTATTTCAAATAGTAAAAACATGTGCAAAGAGTATGTTTCTTCTACTTTTTGAATTATTTTCTTGGGTTAAACTGTTGCTTTTTCTGAGTTTCAGTCCTTAATCATGCCTGACTTGCCATTCTGTGTCTGAACTACCTTGATACTTTCCAGGGGGAAAGTAACAACTTAGTGGTTACTTGTAGCCACTAAATAGTTCTGTATCCACAAATTAAAAGTATATTTAAAAGTATATCCTGATGTTTTAATGGCATATTTTTTAGATATTTAACTTCATATTATGATAAATTTCTATGGAAAATTTTTCATAGAAAATATAATTATATTCTACATTATTTGGCTCAAACTTACAGTAAAATTAGGTTAATAAAATCTCTGTTCTTCCTTTGAGGAATTTAATTTTGAGGTATTTTTAAGATCACGCCAAACTCTCACCCCTATACTAGTATAAGTACATTAATCATGTGTAAAATTATATGAAGTTGCAGTAGCACAAGATCCAGAGGCACATGGTCTTTCTAAGGATCGCAGCCTATTGTTTGAATAATAGTAATTACAACTAGTAGTCAGCGAGTCTTTTAAAGTTTGGCTAGTCGGCATCCACTCCCTATGGCGAGGGAAGAAGACTTAGGATGCTTTAGCCCGCCAGTGGTTTCCCTTGGAAACACAAGCTCGTATACCTCACATATGATGTGGCTACTGTTACTTTGAGTTACTGTGTGCATTTTAATCTTCTAAGTAGAATGCCCTCCAAGTAGCCTAAATTCATGTGGTTTCTATAAATAATTCTGGTTTCCAAATTAAAATACAGAAAAACCTTCAGTTCGGTGTAAAATTTTTAACTTGTCTTTATCATCAGGTATGGCGCTTTTGAACTAAAAAGACTATCGGACTGTCATCCATTCAGGACGTGTTTGTTGATGACCTGGGGTTAGTGGGCATTAGTAATTTGCCTCCTAAGTACAGGGGCAAATCTCGGGAGAAATTGCTGGTCTCCGTTGGCAGTCCTGTGCTGTGGTGGAGAGAGCAGTAGACTTAGAATGAGATCATCTAAACTCATTGCGGGATGTCAGCTTATGGAACATGCTGAGATCCCGTTCCCTGGTGCAGAGACTGACATGAGTGATCCCTACCTCAGGCCTCTAGCAAAGACTAAGTGAGTGTGATGTGTGCGCATTCAGCATCTAAAGGCACCCAAATGTTAAATTTGAATATAATACTGATTTTACTCTTTCTCATATTTTCTTGCAGCATTGTGAAAAGGAAAAGGTGTCTTCTTCAAAGGATTTGAAGCACGTTCATGCAAAAAGTGAAGCAGGTAAACCTGCTCGGAGGCTTTCAGAGTCTTTGCATTCAGCTGAGGAAAACAAAAACGAGTCCAAAATGGAAAGAGAACACAAGAGAAGGACATCTACCCCTGTGGTGGTGGAAGGGTCACAGGAAGAGACGGACACGAGGGACGGGAAGAGGCAGGCGGAACGCTCTGACGTGGGCACAGAAGAAACCCAGAAACAGAAGGGAGCCTTGAAAACAGAAAAGCACCTGAAGAAGGATGACTCGGAAACTCCTCATTCAAAATGCTTGCCTAAGAAAGAGGCGAAATCCTCCAAGGAGAAGCCGGAAAGAGAGAGGGCTTTGTCAGAAGACAAACCGCCTACAAAACACAAATATAAAGGTGACAGCGTACATAAAGCAGGCGATGAGGCCGAGCCTCAGTCTTCTGAGAAAGCACTGAAAGGGGAGGAGAGCGTTCAAAAGCCACGTCAGCCAACAACGCCGTCTTCAGATGACAAACCTGAGCGAAAAAGTAAACACCGGAATGAAAGGAAGTTATCCATTTTAGGCAAAGATGGAAAGCCAGTTTCCGAATATATCATCAAAACAGATGAGAATGTTCGCAAAGAAAACAACAAAAAAGAGAGACACGTGTCGGCCGATAGAGCTAAGGTGGAGCACAAGTCCAGACGATCCAGTGATTCTAGAATTCAGAGGGACTCCCTGAGCTCCAGGCAACACGGTGTCACATCACAGAGAAGAAGTGAGAGTTATTCAGAGGATCGGTGTGATGCAGACTCCACTAATCTAGAGGGTAATTTAAAACCAGAAGAGGCTGTTCACAAGGACAAGAGGAGGACAAAGAGCTTGGTAGAAGAGAAACTTACGTTAAAGTCAAAATCAAAAAGTCAAGGCAAACAGTTAAAAGTAGCTGAAATAGAGTTACAAGAAAGTGTCCCAAAACAGACAAGCACTTCAAAGCCAGACAAAGACAAGAACACAGAAGAAAGTGACCCAGATAGACAGAGAAAGTCTAAAGCTGAGGACAGGCCTTCTGAGGAGACCGGCCTTGAACCCGTGGTGGAGAGCGCCGTCGCCGGGGCCCACAGTGCCCAGAAGGAGTCTAGTCACCGGGCCAAGGCCCCGGCAGCAAAGGACAAGTATAAGGGTGATAAAGACTCCGGCTCCTCCAGACTGGAGAGAAAGTTATCAGACGGACACAAAAGCAGAAGCTTCAAGCACAGCAGCAAAGATGTAAAGAAGAAGGAAGAGACTAGATCAGATGACAAGGATGGTAGAGAAGTTGACAGTAATCATGAAAAGGCCAGAGGGGCGAGTTCCGGCACAGACAAGAAGTTAAGTCGAAGGTTGTGGGAAAATCGAAGAGGGAGCGTGTCACAAGAGATGACCAAAGGAGAAGAAAAACTCGCAGCCGGTGCTTTGGGCACCCCCAGTAGTCCCTCCCTCCCAAGACCAAGAAAAAGCGGCGATACCACTCTGGTCCCAGAACAGGAGCCCATGGACATGGACCCGGAACCGGCCGTTGAGCGTGTCTGTGAGGCACCGAAACCCCAGGAGGGCAGCAATGCTAGCTCTCAGTCAGGCGCCGACGCGGAAAACGTTACCAAGCAAAGATCTTCTGCCACAATTGTGAAGGATGAATTGAGAACTTCCACGGTTGATTCAAAAACAGCAGCTCCCCCCTGTAAATCAGGACGTGGCACAGGCGCTGTTAGTAACTCTGAAAAACACACCGACCATAAAAGCACCCTTGTCAAGAAGGGGCATGTCCAAAGTGCTGTGTCCAGGCTGAACCCTGGGGAGAAGGAGCCCACCGAACAAGGAGCTCGGGAAGGGAATGTGGACCCTGACGCTGGTCCTCGCGTGTTGTCTCGTGCCCCGTCAGAAAGCGAGAGGGCGCACAAGGATGTGACGAACACGAGAAGGCCCCCTGCAGAGCCAGCCCCGGCCCCATCCCCAAGTGCAGTGACTGTCACACCGCAGAAGCAGTTTCATGACAAAGATGGAATGGCTTTATTCGACAAAAGGCCTGCTTCAGAAGGGGGCGCAGCCAGCACCTCACCTAAGCACGACTCTGACATCCCTAACCGGAGTGTGACAGAAGCCCTTTGGACAAGTGACAGTAGAGAGGGTAGTGCGGTTTCCACCGCAGACATGCCAGCAAGAGTAAGCATGGATGACAGAGGGCACACGCCAGGTCACCAGGCCACCTCACTGCCCAGTAAACAGAGAAAATCAAACACACCTCTTGACAGTGAGTTAGCAGACAGGATCATAGACTGTAAGAATGTTGACAAAGGAGGTGACTTGATGGACACAGCCAAGGCAGACAGGGACGTGAGTACTGGGCCCAGTTCAAAGCAGGCAATTCAAGCTGCAGTCATGAGTGGCCGGAAGGACAGTATTGCTGTTGATCACGTGCTGGGCGTGAGTACACAAGACGCCGAAGCTGTCGAACAGGAGCACTGTGAAGGCCCGGGTGGGACAGAGAACACAGCGGTGGGGGCCGAAGGAAGGAATGAGAACAGCGAGGTCGACACCAGTGCCGGATGCAAGGCTGCCTCATCTCTTTCACCCCAGAGGACGGGAAAGGCTGAGAGTATGGCAGCCGGGCCTGGTCGAGCAGAAAGGACACCTGTCGCCACCAGCTCTGAAGGGCAGGTCAAAGGCGTGACCTTCAGCACGGTCAAGGCGGGGCCTGCCACCACCACATCTTCAGAGACAGGAGAGGGGCAGGTGGCCGTGCCGTGCACCAGCATTGAGGCAGACGAGGGCGTGACAGCAGCTGCGGGCTCCAGAAACACCCCCCTCCACGCTGGGGCAGGAGCCAGTGGCCGCACCGTGTTCGCTGCAGCGGAAGAAGGCGGAGGTGTCACAGAGGGACTTGCTGAGAGTGAGACTTACCTCACGAGCACCAAGGGAGGCGAGAGTGGCGAGTGCGCCCTGGCCGAGTCTGGACAGAGCAGCACGGCCCCCGAGCCGGCCTGCGCCACGCGGGCAGAAGGCACCGTCAACAGCGCCGTGCCGGACGAGAAGGACGACGCGGTCACCAGTGCAGGCTCCGAGGAGAAGCGCGGCGGAGCTTCCAGCGGAGAGTCGGAGCTGGCGGGCGGCGCTGGTGCTTTCATTAGTGAGGGCGAAAGTGACGGCGCCGTAACCAGCGCAGGGACGGAAATAAGAGAGGGGTCTCCACGCAGTGAGGAGGCCGACGGCTTCCGGGGCAGTGCAGTGAGGATGGGCCCCAAGAAGGAGACGGAGGGGACTGTGACATGTACGGGAGCGGGGGACAGAGGCGATAGCTTCGTGATGTGCTCGGGGACGGGCGCGGGGCCCCCCGAGGAGCACAGGGTCTCGGGGGCGGCCGCTGGCCTGCTGGACAAGGGCGCGCCCCTGGGCACCAGCGCCGCCCCGGGGGGAGACGGCCTGGGGAGCGACGGCGCGGAGGGGGAGAGCGCAGTCACCAGCACGGGGATCACGGAGGAGGACGGCGAGGGCCCCGCCAGCTGCTCGGGCTCGGAGGAGAGCGGCGCGGGCTTCGCCCTGAGCTCCGAGTCGGAGGAGACCGCGGAGAGCGCGATGGACAGCACGGCCGCCGCGCAGGTGCCCGACGCGTCGCTGGTGGCGGCCGGGCCCTGCGATGACGAGGGCGTCGTCACCAGCACGGGCGCCAAGGAGGACGACGACGAAGGGGAGGGCGTGGTGACCAGCACCGGCAGGGGCAACGAGGTCGGGCCCGCCGCCGCCTGCGCGGGCGTGGAGGAGGATGGCGAGGGCGGGCCCACGTGCCAGAGTGCAGGAGAGCAGGACGCGCCCGTGGGGCCGGCTGCGGGGCGAGTGGGGGCCGGGGCCGCCCTCACGGACGCGAGCGAAAGCAGCGTGGACAGCATGAGCGGTGCAGGGCGGGGCGCCAAGGACCCAGACATCTGCTCCAGCGCCAAAGGGCTGGTGGAGAGCAGCGTGACGAGCGCCGCGCCGGGGACGGGGCCGCCCGCGCGGGGCCCAGGAGGCTGTGAGGGGCCCATGACGAGTGTGGCGGCCTCTGAGCAGCGCGACAGCCAGCTTGCCAGAAAGGAGAGAGCTGAGGGTGCCCCTCTTTCTGCCGACCTGGTCGGGGGCAGTTATGAGGTGCTCGTGTCTGGTGCAGCCCCGGCAGGTGACGCTCATCACACATCCACGAGCGCAAAGGAAGACGAGGGTGTCATCACCTCCGTGGAAAACGAAGAATGCGACGGCCTCCTGGCCGCCAGCGCCAGCGACCACGTCCCCAGCCAGGCCAGCGTGGCGGGGGGCAGAAGTCAAGGCAGCGGCGTGATGATTTCCACCAGCAGAGCAGGCGACGGCGCTGCTCCGTTAGGCAAGATGACAGACGCGGAGGAGGGTCGCCCCAGCGCCCTGAGAACGGACGGCGGCGTGGACGGCACCAGGGTGAACATGGAAGAATTCGAGGCCCCGATGCCCAGCGCGGCGTCGGGGACGCGAGCCAGCCGGCCACCGCGCGGGCCGAAGACAAGGACGAGTGCGCCATGATCTCCACCAGCCTCGGCGAGGAGTGCGAAGTGCCTATTTCCAGCGCCACCTCCACCAAGTTCACCCAGAGCCAGCCCGCCGGTGCCCCCGCTGAAGAGGGAGCTCAGGGGCCCAGCCTGGTGAGCACCGGCAACTCCGAGGTGCCGATGCCCAGCGCCCCCGCAGAGGCCGAGCGTCCCCTCGCCTCGACCAGCAAGGAGGAGAAGGACGAGTGTGCGCTCATCTCCACCAGCATCGCGGAGGGCTGCGAGGCCTCCGTCCGCGGGGCCCTCGCCGAGGAGAAGGACGGCAGCGCCGTCATCTCAACCAGCTCGGGGGAAGACTGCGAGGGCCCGGTGTCCAGCGCCCGCCCTCAGGCGGCCACGCGTCCCGCCGTCACCCCTGCGGAGGAGCTGAGCGACTCGGCCATGATCTCCACAAGCACCTCTGAAGGCTGCGAGGCTGCTGTGCTGGGAGCCGTCCCGCTGGACCAGGAGCAGCCCGGCACGGCAAGGGTGGAGGACTCGAGCGATGCCGCCCTCATCTCCACCAGCACAGTTGAATGTGTGCCGATCACCACCGGCCTGGACACACGCGGCGAGAGCCGGCTGACCGCCAGCAAGCCAGAAGGAAAGGCCTTGTCAGCTGCCACGCGGAGCAAGCGTGACGTCCCGACGCCCAGCCTCATCACTGAGGACGGCTGTCAGCAGTCTGGCCCACTGGCAGGGCAGACAGTGGGCTTCGTGGGGACCATGCACACCGAGGAAGGGCAGGCCAGGGTCTCCGTGGCTGAGCTCTCTGAGGCGGGAGGCCAGCCAAGTGAGAGGCGGGACACAGTGGCTCGAAGCAAGAGTGCCTTGTGCCTCATCCGTGCAGAAGAGAAGCCCGTGTCCTCGTATGCAGTTCAGAGAGAAAACACGAACCTGGAGGCAGAGACGGCGGGGGACGGTTCCCCCACAGGTTTGCGGAGGAGTGCCAGCTCGCCCGTGGGCCCCCGAGGGCCCGAGCAAATGGCCGGCGATGAAGGCTCCTCCGTCAGCGCTGGCTGTGTGACAGCAGTGAGTCCCGGTGCTAAAAAAGGTGTCGACTCGCCGTGTTTAGGAGACGCTGCGTGGCAGTCCTCGCCTTCTCCCAACCCGCAGGGTTCTGAGGGCGACTTGAAAACCACCCCCTCTGAATGTGTTAACCACCAAAAATCTGAAATTGCTCCTCCCCACGCCATGGTCCCTCCAGCTGCCTGCGATGTAGCTCTGTCAGCCCCTAACTCTGGGCAGGACTTGGCTGTAAAGAGCGGCCACAGTTGCAAGCAGCCAGTTCCCGTGTGCTCGGAGACAGCAGGAGCTGGCACGGCGCCCTCGTGCCAGAAGGAAGAAGGCCTCAGGATCACCGTTTCTTCCAAAGAATGTGTGTGTGGCATAGGTGAGACTAACCGCAACTGTTAGCATTTTCCACAGTTGACTAGCACATGTGAGAAGCCTGCCAGCAGGTGGTTTGGGCTCCAGCAGGACCCAGGGTGGCGGGAACCGCGGTTGGAGGGTCATTTCCTTAGAAGAAGCTTGTGTTAGTGGTTTAAAACCTTTGGCCCATCGTTATGTGCAGAGAGAAAAGAGGTAGGAACCTGAGGGGCAGGAAGTTGCGAAGTCACCTGCGTGTGAGCTGCCAGTCACTGAGCTCCTCTGGGCTCTTGGTGATCAGAATGAGTGTTGCTTTACAGCCCCATGACAAGTGGGGTTTGGGCCCCCTCATTTTACAAGTGAGGAAATAGGTTCAGGTAACTAGCATGGTCCTTGGGTGCCTTTTACAAGAAAATGACCGCCAAGCCTCAGTCTCTCTTGCATGAAGTGGGGCAAATAGAGCAAGCAGACACCACAGCACCCTCCACTTTCTTGGAGATGTGCAGCTTATGACAGGTCAGTGCAGTGCATTTTTAAATACCATTTGTGGTTTAGAATTTGAAAGAGAAGAGAAACATGTTCTCTGCTGGCAGATTCCAAAGATCATGTTAGAGTCGGGCCCTGTCAGAGGTGTGTGCTTCCACCATCTTTCATTCTGCCGGCCACCTCAGATGCTTGACACCAGGCCCACTGTGCCAGCCATGGGGGTGCAAAGATGTAGTCAGGGTGAAAAGAACTGTGAATATAGTGGTGGTGTCAGCAGGCTGTGACGCTGTCCACGGCAGGAAGCGACCGTCGGCTGTGGTGTGACTGAGCTGGCTGGGCAGCGAGTGAGCTGTGACACTGCAGTGACTTGCCTACACACCCTTCAGCACCACCTGCTGTGAGAACGCCAGGGGTCGGGGCTGACCTTCTGCCCTGGCTGTGAAGCGTAGTGTCCTGCACGTTTCCCCAGGAACAGACCTTGGTGTCAGCCATTCGTCAGTCCTGCTGTTGTAGGGACTTGGCAAACACCGAGAACGTTCCAGGGTAGAGGAAAGTTACGTGAGACAGTTCCCTTCGAGTTTGGGGGTAGATTGAATGCTGCGGCAGATTTTGTGACTCATCATTGCTAGTCTGTTACTACTCCCTCCCCCTGTTTTTCCTCTGAAGGTGCAAAAATCGAAGGGCTTTTACTGAGGAAAAGCCTGCAGCCTCTTGGAGAAAGGAGGGATTTTCCTGGGAGGGGTGTGTGTGGGCAGCTGAGAGGGAGATGAAGCCACAGGTGGCAGATGACAGAAGAGGAAGGAGGAAGGGCCAAGATGGATAGAAATGAGTGTCCGCTGGAGAAAATACCCTTTTCTTTTTGGCTATTTCAGGTTTTTTATGTTCAATTTTGCTGTGTCAAGGCGGAGCAAGTAGAGTGAGGCGGTTCATAGTTTGCCTTCTTCATTGAGACTGTTCAGCGGCTCAGGGTTCCTTCTTACAGGGACAGTGCTGATGCAGATCACTATAGGAAAATACTTAGCAATAACGTGTGTCCACAATACTATTTTACATTCTTCTGGGCAGCCACCTTAACACAAGAAACTGTTTCATACATACCTCCTCAAAAAGTGAGAAAATGGCTCCTGCCTTCCATCTGGGATTTTTCTTTCTTTCTTTTTTTTTTAAAGATTATTTATTTATACAAGCACTGGGTACAGTCAGAAGCGCGGGAGGGTGAGAGAATTCACCAGAGCCAGAGCGGGGAGCAGAGCAGGCAGAAGGACCGAAGGACACTGCTGAGGGGAGCAGCGGGCGGCAGGAGAGGTCTGTGCGCCATGCGGGACCCTCCTCTGGTGGCCGGGGAGCAGCCAGGGATCGAACCGGTGCTGCAGAGGCTGTGGGCAGCTTTGCAACCCAGCGCTCAACTGCTGCGCCACCGGGGAAGCCCTGGGATTTTTCGTACCTACTTTTTATCTTTTCCTACTAGTGGCAAATATAAGGCCACAGAGGAAGGGGACGTGGCATGCCGGGTGACAGCTTTGTGTTCCCATTTGGTGGCTTCCATTTCTTTAGGCAGTGAGGAGTCTGCGCTGAATGTTTCGGAAGGATTGGAACCCAAAGCCGGCTTGAAAACTGAGGTATGGATGATGATTCGTCTACACTGACGTGTGCATGTGGGAGAGCCACGTCACCACACGTCCTGGAGGCGCTTCCTTGTCACCCCCCCTGCTCCCCTATCCCCATGGGGAGAAAGCTAAGGATCTCAGTAATCCAGTTCTGTTTATTCAAACCACAAACTCAGCGGTCACCCTCCGTTCCTCCCTGTCACCCCACACTTAATCCATTGCCAAGTCTTGGAGTTTCCACATCCAAATATAACTTGACTCCATCCACTGCTGTGTCTGTGTCCACCACCAGGGTCTTCACCGCTGCTTCTGCAGTCACCCCACTGACTCACTCGCTCACTCAGTCCAGAGAACTGCTGCTAAAAACTAGACGTAGGTCATGTCACTATCTTGTACGCAAGTGAGTCTCCGCGTCCCGGTTCCAGCCTGAGGTCGTGGCACATAGCGGCCCGTGGGAGCAGAGCTGTGAACAGGAGCCCAAGCCGGGCAGAGGAGGCACGGCCTGCCCATCGGGAGTCGGGTGGCAGACGACAGGGCTTACAAAGATGACATGAGGGCAGAGTTTTATAACTGAGTAGAAATTTGCTAGGGGAAAAAGAAAAGCCTCCTGGGCAGAAATAACCATGTTTTCATTTTTAAGTTTTGCACAGACTTCAGAGCAGACTTCTGTGTTATAACATGCGGGGAGTTGATATGCCTCAACTTGGGGTTAGTCATGCCTTCTTGATAACTTCTTTTCATGGCACTTTGAATTTCCCAGACGTCTGTGTCGTCAGGAAAAGAGAAAAGTCCTGAAACCCTCACCCCACCAGAAAACCCGGGAGGGAGCACGCCATGCGGAGAAGGTGAGCGCCTACTGTGTTCTCTTACTCCCTTCCATGTGCATTGGCCTCTCGCTTGAAACTCAGTAGCCAGCTCACAGTAAAACACAGGCCCTATGCATTTGCCTCCCGCCTTTTAAAAATGAGTTAAGTTTCTTACTGTTTTTTTTTTCCTTTGCATACAAGAACTGGGGTACAGGCCAGAGGTGTGGGGGGTGCGAGGATTCACCAGAGCAGAGTGGGGAGCAGAACAGGCAGCTCCGCCAAAATAGACTGCTGAGGGGAACAGCGGGGAGTCAGGAGAGGTCTGCTGCGCCCTGTGGGTAGCTCCCCAGTCAGGATCGAACTCGTGCTGCAGTGGCTGCGGACAGCTTCACAGGTTGCATCTTAACCCTTGCGCCACCATGGAGGCCCACATTTCTTACTCTGTTTCAACATATACTATTTCTCTAGAGGTATAAATTCTATTTAAGATAATTGTATAAATCTGATGTCTCCAAATTATTGTGTCAAAACTTGCTGTGGAGTCAGCTATTGTGTAAATAGTAGCTGATTTATATTTTTGCAAATTTAAGTCTAGCTTAATAGAAAATGGCTGGTTTCTCTCATCGATGTCTGTATTCAGATTGTTGCTATTCGTTGTCTTGGTTGAAATTTATCGCACTTACGCAGTTGGGGTTTAAATAGTCTCTACAGATAACTGTGGAAAACTCCACTGTGCACTCCTGATTTCATGAGGTAAATGGCATCTTAGTGTTCGTGTGGCAGTAGGGTGGGCCCTGCATGGGAGGTCCTGGGGGTCCTTTGGCCACACTTTGAGAACCACAGGATTAAGGAAGTGGACATGAGAATTGCGGCAGTGGAGAAACGTTTTCTCACATTAACTAGGAAAAAGCAATAGGAGCTTTAGAGTGGATGACCAGATATTTTGGAGAGGCATGCGTGTCTGTGGGGACAGCCGTGCCAGCTCGGGCCTTGGGGAAGGCCGGTAGTTAAGCTGACCCAGTCTCTCTCCTTTACTTGGAGAAAGTTCGATACACGCACGCACGGTTCAGTTTCCCATTCTCTCGTGGTTTAACAGAAATGTCCTAGTAAGTGTAGCGCTTTCTTGGACCCACGTTGTGGGGCCTTCTCCTTTGGTGTGCGCAGACGGACCTCATTTGTTTTGGGACTGCAAGTGACCTTTACCATACTTTCCCATTTGTTAGACCTCGTAAAGAGCTCCAGTGTCTGTAGTTTGCACTATTACAAGTAAAGCTTGGATGAATTCCCATATGCAGGTAACTGTTTCCCAAGTATTTCCATAAAAATGGGCTGGGTGGTCAACACGTCTGTTTTGAATCCTGATAAGTACTTGTCATTCCCCCTATTTTGTGGGCTTTTTTTTTTTTTTAAGGATTTATTTATTTATGCATACAAAACCTGGGGTATAGGCCAGAGGTGCGGGGGTGAGAGGATTCACCAGAGACAGAGTGGGGAACAGAACAGGCAGACTGATCGAAATACACTGCTGAGTGGGCGAGTCAGGAGAGGTCTGCTGCACCATGTGGGTAGCTCCCTGGCTGCCTAGGGGATCGAACTCGTGCTGCAGAGGCTGCAGATAGCTTCATAATGCTACGTTTAACCCCTGGAGCCACCAGGGAGGCCCTCCCCCTGTTTTGAAGCCAGTTACTGAAGGGTGATCAGTGTGCATTAGTAGATGAGGCAGAGAGGCAGTGGAGAGGTCATTTGGACGCAGGAGCAGAATGCGTAGACCCTCACCCCAGACTCTGGGCACTTGGGACAGGACTTTCCCAGGCAAAACCATTGGGAAGGGCGTCCCCCACGTATGTAAGCTAGAGCCTTGAAGCAGACAGGCCTGGAAGCGCCAAGGCCCGGGAGCTATCCGTGCTGACTTGTGAAAACACTAATGATGACTAATCTGCCCAAAACTCGGACAGATGCATTTATTAAAATCTGTACATATGACTTATCACACAAGTAATTAGCACCCCATTTGTTAATTGTCAAGAAGGTAGCATTTTTGGATTCTGAGGTCCTCATTTCCCACAGTTATGTTTTAGGTCTCTGTGTTTAGGTACAGTTCACTAAGACATCTACTTACGTAAAAGGAAGTTGTTTAAAAGAAAAATGTGTGTTCTGTCACTGCTGAGTAGAAACAGTAGACCTTGTACTTCAGGTTTCCAAGGAATATAAATAGACTTTGCTGTTAGAGGGAGAGTCTGACTTTTCATTTGGTGGCTTTGCTTTCAAACGAGCCAGTGGCACAGAGCGTCTCCTGGCTGCATGCACTGTTTTGCTGCTGAGCTAAGGTCGCCAGCAGAGTTGCGTAGGGACTTAGGGAGGCACTGCCGATACTGCGAAACTGTGGGCGTTAAATAATTAAAAAATAGTGGTCAGAATGTTATAATTCACCAAAGCTGCTAGGCCACTTAGCAACATAGTCCTACCTAATTACCCTGAGATTTCTGCTTCTCTGTGGTTCAGTATTGAGTTTCCTTGTTGCTCGTTTTTTGTCTCTGAACAGCTGACCTACAGAGAGAGCCTCCGTCGGTGCCTGAGCCCCTGGATGTAAGTCACTGATGTGGTTCGGGCTTTGTTGGTACTGTGGCCAGGGCTGTTTTTGGGGGTGTTTGAGATGAATGGGGAGGCACCCCTAAGGGAGAGGGGCTGCCCACATTTCTTTAGGAGTCAGGAGGCGTTTGTGTGTGCCTCTCAAGTTCAACATAAGTTCGTTCATCTGGCTCCACTGATGTCATGAAATTCAGCAGTTTTCCTCAGAAAAATAGTCACTCCGAATTCAGCAGCGCGATCTCCTAGTGGCCCTTTAGGCCAGTGTCCTGAGACAGAACTAAGGAAGCATGAGGGAAGGCCCAGATCGTGCAGAATAATGCTAATGAAATTCAAAGAACTAGGCATCTTTGATTTATAATTACGATTATGGGTCCATGGTGGGATCGTGATGTCTTAAATTACCCTGATGCTGTAGACAAAACAGGTTTTTATTAAGAAGTTAACAAAGTTCACATTGTTTTTAGGAAGTTTCCCTGAAGATACTAAGCTATAATTGCCACGAATGCATATTTATCCCATATGTGGTTCTCATAATTCCTTTTGTGCTGGAGAGAATTTTTTTTTTCCTTCTGTAGGAGTAAAGGATCTAATGTCCTGCCAGGAGTAAAGATTTTATAAAATGCTCACAAATCATGGGCCCTCTTCTTTCCAGGGCTCCTAGAGGACCCCAACGATTCCTGCCTGCTCTCAGATACCCCAGCATTAGAGTTTCTTTCACCCCCTTGCAGTGTCCCTGCCTGTAGCTAGAAGCTCGTACACTCCTGCTGAGGTAGACAGTGGGGAAATGCCCCTCGTGGCTTGGTACCCTCAAAAGGTCAAGGCTGCTCAGTGTGACTGGGACCTGCGGACCCCAAGGTATGGGGCCTCCCTTGCCCCCACCCCAGCCCAGCCCTCCTTTGCTGCACCTGAGCTGCGGAGCCACACACTGGAGTGTCGTCGATATCTCGAGACTCTCCCCCAGTCTAAAAAGCAAGGGACAGTGGTCAAGATTTGCCAAAGGGAAATCTCCCTCCAGAGTGACGGAATCCTCTAGCATTTTTGCACACAAGAGAATTTTGGGAAAGTCTCTGGATGGGAAAGGAACTCACAATTCAGAAAATTTTCGACCTTATTTTTTGCTCTTGCCATCACCATTGTAAAGACAAGGAGGGCAGGCAGAGTGGCCCGATAACTTAAAAAAACCGAAGCGAATTCACAAGGAAGGTGCTCTGTGGTCTTGAGCTTCTGGGTGAAATGAAGAGGCACACGTACCCCAGTTCCAACATTGCCACAAACGGCTAGAGTACCTCAGTCACCTTCCTTTTTTGTCCATCTTTAAGATTTTTGTGAGATTTTCCATAAACACCCTCTTCTTTTGTATGTGTAGGTTGAAATTTCGGGCTCAAAAAGAGATGCAGAAACCGATAGCAAAACTTCTAACAAAGAAGGTGAGTTAATGACTTCATAGTGGTAATTTCAATATGAATTATAAATTGCCATTTGTTGGTTACTTTCTGCATGCCAGGCCCTGTGCTAAATACTTCACAAAGTTTCTCATTTAATCCACACACTCTAGTAAGGAGAATGTTAATAGTACTTCTTGTTGTGGGAGCAGGCGTGGAGGGTTGTGGGGAGCCTGGCCTTCAGTAGCTTCTGGAACTTCATCAGCGCCTCCCAGTGGAGTTAGTGCAATGGGAACACGGAGCCTGCGGTCCTCCTCAGGGTTTGCTCCCAAGGAGGACTTCTGTGCTGACTGCAGGTGACACATCCGGGACTTCACATTAATGTGCCCCCGCCCCATTCCACATGACCTGTGGAGGCTGCCAACGCCTGTGGAGGCTGCCAACACCTGTGATTCTCCCAGAGTGGGGAAAGCAGTCTGAACCCCTGTGCACTTGCTTTCCTAGTGTGTTGTATTTCACAGCCACACAGCAAGGATTAGAAACCCCCGTGTTACCTATCTCCTAATGTTGGCATGCCTTAAAATTTGGAACATTTGCTTCATGCTTTAGAAAAAACTGTTTCAGAAAGCGTAAACTACATTCTAGCTCCCCCTCACCCCCCAAGGGGCCACTGTGCTGCGCTTGCTGTTAATCCTTTCCTGGCAACAGGGAGTGCCGTGTTCCAGAACTGTCTCTGTCATGCTGGTGCCTTTAGCATCACACTCTGAGATTTTGTCAGACGCCTGTAACTCTAGTTACTTTATTTCATTTGTTCTTTATTTCCATAGTATGTGAATCCACCCAGGTTATTATATTTCATAATTTCATGTCGTCTTGGACGTTCCGGTTTTTCACAGCTACGACGCGTGATGTAGTGCCTGTTCTCTAGACGTATCTGGTGCCCCGACACTCGGTGTGCCATTGCCGATGTGATAGGACTCTTCAGCTTGACTGAGTGTGCCAGGTTGACCCCAAGTGGCGTGGCAGTTGTCACCCCACCCTCTCCTGCATTTGGCGGCGTCAGTCAGGGGACTTGCTAATCCGGTGGCTTCCCAGGCACCCCCTGGTCTCCGTGGACGTTCCTCCTACAGCGCAGCTCCCTGCGTGGGCCGGTGGCTCAGAGGCTGCGTGTGAAGCCCAGCGGCCCTGCTTGGCCCCGGGCCTCGCCTTTCCAGAGGGGACTCCTGAGGCTCCCCTGGCCGGGCTGGTGGAGGACCCGCCACTGCTGTGGTCATGTCCCACCCTCCTTCCCTGCCCCGCCGCACACGCCCTGGAATTGTACTGGGGGAAGGAAGTCTGTAAGGGTGTAAGGGTTGATTTTTCTTTTTTGTATTTATTACTCAGAGATTTCCAATGGTAGAAAGGACAACGCAGAAGCCGTGAGGGACCACCGTGTTGAAGCAAATCCGAAAGAGGTGGGTTTTCTTAGGAAGCTCGACTGTTTCCTGATTTGTACATTGTACTTTCTGCCAGTGCACAAAGAAAAGCAGAACTTATTTGCATGTATTGAAAGTTCACTGACCCTATTGAGGTTCACGTCACTTCTGTCCCTGTGCTTGTCGTGTAGGTAGCGGGACAGGGCCGGCAGCGTTCTGCCATGTCCGTGCGCTCCAACGAAGAGACCCTCTCCTCAGCCCTCAGTGGGCCACAAAACCCCCCTGTTAACTCAGGACACACCATCGCCGACCGTGCTGGACTCAAAGATGGAGAAAGGAGCAATGATTTTTTTTTAAGTATTTTAGAATCACTGTAATAGAGTATAGTGACAGACAAATTTGATTATTTTGTATGAATTTATCAAAAACTGAATCTGATCCAAGTCTAGATGCCAAAAGCAGTATTCTAGATTCTAAAAAAATCATATAAAAATGTATCCAAACACGAGAAGCTACTGTACTTTGCCCCCTTGCAGTAGATTTGTATCCAAATTCTGTTGCCTTTAATCTAACCGTTCTTGATTCCAGGTTGAGGAGGAAGAGAGGCGCATGCCCAGAAGGAAGAGAAAGAAGCCTTGCCCCTCCTCAGAAGACGAGCCGGGTACTCCCAGTGTTCATGTGCCTGTTTCCGACGTCTTTGAAAATCATGTGATTTTTGTATCCCAGAAATAGTTCCACCTACTTAGGAACTACTTGAGGAGGGTGGTGATTGTTTATTTCACACCTCTTGAGGCCATTTTATTTCCAGACTGACGTGACACTTCCAGGGTATTTTCTGGGCTTGATCTAGAAGCCAGATTGCTCCGTGTGGAAGCCCGGCCTCTGTCACTTGCTCCGGGCTCAGCCAGGTGCTGCAGGGCTCCTTAAACACACCCCCCGGCGAGGGATGCACTTTGGTACAGGTGTGGACAGTAGTGCTGTGAGCGCTTACGTGCTTTTCTGCCTGTGCCAGCACCCCCCGGGAGAGCCTGCTGCAGTGACGGGAACATTCTACGTTGGCTCCGTCTACTCCAGTCGCTGCCAGCTACGTATGGCATTGAGCTCCCGATGTGGGTCAGTGGGAAGGAGAGTCCATTTTTAGTTGTAGTCAGCTCTAGCTTCAGCTTCCACAGCCACATGTGGCTTATGGCTGCCGTGCAGGATGGTGCAGAGGCTTTGGTTCTTTCAAGCCTGACACAAAGTACAAACTCAGTAAACTCAGAGGTGAAGTGTGGGAAAGAAGGGTTAAATGCTCCCCTTTGGTCAGGAGCATGTAATCTTTTGTAATGACTGGGTTCTTACTCTGTCCAGGTGCCATCCCTGGTACCTGTACATTCACAGTGACATGCGAGTTAGGTAGTATCAACTTCTTATAAACAAAGCAAGATCCTGATAGACCATGACTTTATTTCCACTGTAGATCTGAATCCCCGCCCCTGGTCTAATCATTAAGTCAGGCCTCTTAGGCGGCTCCTTGGCCCGGAGTATAGTGCCCCTGGTTGCTCTGTGCATCTGGAGCCCCCATCAGCCCTACTGCTTTGCTGGTCTCTGCTGAGCATCTGTGGAATTTTGTAATTTCTCCACTTTGGCTTTGTCGGGGCCAAGGCCATGTCCACTGCTCAGTGACATGACATTGCCAGCACCTTCAGAAATAACTTGACATCCTATAGCACAGGTCCAAGAAAGAATCTTGAACCGTCCTCAAATAGAACTGTGTATTTCATTTTGCTTTTATTCCTTTGTGATTCTGTCCAAACTGATTTACAGATGATAATCCAGATATCTTGGATTCCAAAACAGAAACAGCGCAGAGGCAAGGTTCTGAAACTGAGCTGCAAGATGCAAAGGTATGTTTTCTGCCTGTTAATTTAAGAACTGAGGTAACCTAATTACATCGCTGTGGAAACGTAACTCCCCCCCCCCCCCAGTAATAACCACTTTATTAGAACAAAAGGTATTTTTTGGACTCCCTTAGAAATGTGAGTGTTGCACTTTGTCATCATAAGCTGCAAGACTGTGTTTTCAGAATGAAGATACAATCATTGCTAAAGTTTTTGTCCAGGTGTATTACTGATTTCTTAAGGTGGCTAGGTAGGTGCTCTTCCCAAAGCTTATTACAGATAATCTTGCTGCAAAACAATGGAATGCAGCGTAACTTTCAAATGTTACTATTTGGCCTTTTCTCTACCCTGCCACCTCCCTTCTCTAAAATACGGGTAGAGTTCAGGGATGGACCTGACTCATTGCCTTTTGTCCTGTGCTTGTAAGTTCCTCTTCTGACCCAGGAAAGTGGCTCACACATTTGTATTTCTGTCCTTGCCCTCTTGGCCCCGAGGTCTCCATGTCCTAGGAAATGCCTCTTCTCTAGAGTCCTCCATTTCGAGGTATTAACTTCTCATTGTCTGTTCCAGGCCAGCCCCATCGCCTCAGCTTCTCTTTCTTCCAAAAGTATCTGAGACAGCTTCTGAAAGCACATGCAGCTGACTTGCAGCTCACTGAAACCAGTTCAGAGTCCCTTTTGTTTCTAATAGTTGATAAACTAAATAAAGAGTAGTAGAAGAATGTTAACAGCCTAAGAGGGGAAGTCACACATTCTTGTGAATTTCAATTCATCACAGTCAAGGAATGAAACTGGCTTTTAATCCCATCACTGCCCATGCCCAGTTCAGAGCAAGAGTCCTGAGGTAGCGCCTAATGTGAAGAGAAGCAGATTAAAGAGTCTTTTTTTCCCCCCTTCAATTTCATGTAGGTTTTTTTAATGTTAAATTTAAGTAAAATCTAACTTAACCATTTTCATGTACAGATGTTTTCAGTATCATAAACTCTAACTGATTTTATATTCAGCTTGTGTATGCTTATTTACATTACTCTTACAAACATTTTGGTATTTCATATTCAAAACTTTTTGCAGCTAAGGGTGAATGACTTAGCACGCTAAGAGACCACAGCCAGATACCCAGAAATCCTCAGCATCTTCCACTTTATTCCTTTCCTCTGTTCCCTCCTTCCACCACCCAACTACAACAAAAAATCTGTTGTAAGTTCCTATCAATTTTTTTCTAGGGAGTTTCTCTGAAAAAGACAAAGTTCCAGGATGAGGGAGGAAGAGAGTGATTTCCATTTTGCAGGGAAAAAAAAATAATGTCCTTATTGTGGCTTTATCATCCAGCCTCCTCTCAGGCTTTTCTGCCTTCAGAGTGGGTGTGTTTATATAGATAGTCCCAATAGCAGCAGAAATTGTTACTTTTTAAAAAAATTCCAACAAACTATTCTAAAGAGCCATAGGGGATTATTTGGGGGTTAAAAAGGGAGACTTTGGGGAGGGGGATGGTGGCAGGATTAATTCTGAAAAGGAAGCTTTTTGTCTTGTTCAACTTCTCTACAGGAAGAGAACCCTGGAGAGTTGGAAGAATTATCGAAATCAAGTTCTAAGACAAACAGCACAGCCTCCAGAGCCATGGAAGAAAGAGGTGAGCAGCGTGCCTCCTTGGGCCAGCCTCGGAGAGGGACAGAGACCCTCCGGACACCAGAGTTGCCCTGACCCTGTGGGCGTTGCTCACTCACCGTCCCTTCATCAAACAGTGGGCTCCTGCTGAATGCTGCGGGTTGTTTCTGCCTCAGTCCCTTTCTGCTCAGTGTCCTGATGGCCACCTAGCCAGACCCTGGCTTGAGAGTCTTGGTGCCCTAGGCCTGAGGACAGAGGGTGTGTCGGTGTGGCTGGGACCGTGTGCTCCCGTGGGAGGCTGACCCCGGTCCTCAGTAGTGGACTGAGCGGTGCCCTTTCTGCAGATGAATATAGCAGCAGTGATGCGACCGGCGAAAAGACAGAGCCCAATGAAGATGACACCGTAAAATCCCAGGAGGTGAGGAATGCTTGTGGGATTTATTGGGTCAGATTTATTTAAGCACCAAAAACAAAATGTGTTAAATGCTCTTACCTGAAGTTTTTCTCAAGTACTTTGGAAGGACTTCTTTTTCTGGCTCAGCACGGCACCATTTCTCATGCTGTGTTTTATCAGTGTCTTTTTGATTAATCATGGTTCCATCCAAACATTTGTACGAGACCTCCTTATGTCATGGCTAGGTGGGGTGAGCCCAGAGCTGTTCCTTGGGGTCATGTCAGGTTCTCTCCTGGCAGCTTAGTGCAGCCACGCCTGGTGATACTTCCAGCCAGCAAAGGAGAGAGGCTGACCACGGCTTCTGAACAAGAAGAATGGGTTTAGAAGGCCTGTGGCGAGTGCCGAGTGGGACCCAGCCTCCCAAGGCCGGGTCGGCGGCAGGAGTAGGCTGGCCTTCAGCCCTGCCCACGCCGTGCCCTTGAGGTTTGCAAAGAGCCCACAGGGGCACAGACTCACAGGGTCCCCCAGCCATGGGAAGCGACTGGCCACCAGCAGGTCTTGCAGATAACTGCTTCCAAGGTGGCTGGTCTTGAAATCATCCAACTTCTCAGTGGTTCTTTTTGTTTTCTCATAGTTGCGTACGACAAATTGAGTGGCCTTTCTTTAATCAGGCATAAATAACATTTGGTCACCAGGGACTGGGACTAAATCCAAATGTAAGTGGACACACATAGTTACTATAAAAGTAAAAGTAAGCACTTACTTCCAGCTCATCGTTACCTGACTTCCCCGCACACCCTGTGCTGCCCACGCCAGTTGTCCCTGTTTGTCAGGCGAGGGAACTGCCACTGGGTGGAAGGCACTCAGGGCACGTGTTTTTTTAAGTGATGAAACTGGGGTTTGAGGCCTCTTGGGGGGAGCTCTAAATCTCATTTTGAGCACTGATCTATTTGTATAATAGTGGGTACAATTATTTTTTATGGCTGTTTGTCCCCCTCACCCCCCTTAGGAAGATCAGCCAGTGGTCGTTAAAAGGAAAAGAGGGAGACCTCGGAAACACCCCGTGGAGGCAGCCTCGAGAGCAAGTATGTGCTTGCCGGGTTTTCAGTTGACACATGAGAAATTTTCAAAATGATTTTCTCAGCGAGCTTTCTTTTTGCATCTTGCAGAAGAAGAGAGCAGAGCGGACGCCGGCCCCGTCACCGTAAGTGATCGCCGCGGGCGGGCCCTGCGGGCGCTCACCCTTGGCCTGGAAGGGCCCTCCGCGAGACCTCGCCTTTTGAACGACTTCTTGTTCTTTAAGTTATTTGAAAAACTTTTTAAGAGACTCTGTTAAATAAGTATCGAATAACCATTCCAGTAATACTTGGTTACTAATGTCTTCATATAAACTTACGTATATTCAACGCTCTGCAGTCTGAATCTGTCCTCCCTTAGGAGTGTACTTACCTAAGTCCACTGGTCCAGGGACGGACCTCATTGCAGTCATCCTTGACCTTAGCTATTGCACGTGATTTTTCTATCGTAAATTTTGTGGAAAGCTCCAATGTGTGTCACCATCTTAACTACTTTTCATGAAGTTCCTTTTGTAACAAAGTGTATATTGATTTCAATGCCGGAAAAGCCTCAGTGAAACTTCAACTTTTAAACTTTTTTTTTTTACTCTAAAGTGTATGCACATCAAAATCAGCCTCAGGATTTCATTGCATGAAATTAGTATCAGGAGGACGAACGCATCAGTCGGCGGTCACATGTGTCCCCTGGCCTGATCAAAGCAGATGGGCGTCAAGCCTCGGTGCTGCCATTTACTCCCAGAGAACAGTTTCCAATGCGTTTCCCTAACCACGGAGAGAAATCCTGAACATCAGCTCCCCTGTGATGGTGACAAACTGCTGATTTCACTTCTGTGTTTATTTGTTTCAATTTAGGTCGAACAGTCTCCACCTGGCAGCAAACTGAAAGGCATGCCAGCAGGTAGGCTGCCCCTCGTTGTTTGGGTGACCTAAGCGGGAGGGAGCTGGCTAGGGGGAAGGGTTCTAGCCTCTCATTGTTTCTGGATGAGGGCTGCCCCTCTTGGGCAGGCAGCTGTCTCTGTAGCTACAGAGACCAAGCATGGCGGCCCATGCTGTGCTGTGAGCTGAGCTGGTTCTGGAATTCTGGCCTTCAGACAGAGGGTAAAGGCAGTGCACAGCCAGCTGGGGTAGGCTCTTCCTTGCCCAGACTGTAACTCACTGGGTATGTTTAAGGGAGAAACAGGTCAGTCTGGGGCCTGGGCACTCTTACTAGGAGGCAGGACTTCAGCTCAAAAACCTATGCTCAGGAGCTACAGCCTGTGCAGCTCACAGAGCCAGGATGAGCGAGATAAAAAAATTGTTTCAACTATTTTTGTCCTCATTCCAAGGGGTAAAATATTTACTTCGAAATGTTGATAATGATTAGCTCTGGGTTAGTGGGGTGATGGGAACATTCCACGTTATTTGTTACTGTTGCCTGTATTTTCCAGAATTTTTTCAACCGTGAATTTCATGGTTGAAAATTGCTAACATGAATTCAAGGAGAGCCAATTGGTGGGTTCGAAGAGTTGGCACAGGCAGAAGAGATGATGTGACAGCTCTCTTAGATAAAGGGCAGGGAAGGATGGCTTCTGATTAGCCAAGGTCACGCGAACATGCCATTTTAAAGTTTGTCTGCACTTAACTATGTGTTTCTGTGATCATACTTAAGTTTTCTTGTCTCTTGGAAACTTAAAGTTTATTTTTAAAAACGGGTTTGCTTGTGTTTGGTTTTTCACTAGGTTTTATTCACAACGTGATACTTTAAATCCATACAATGCCCATAACTCGAATGCCCTTGAAAGACTAATTTAGGCCATGTGATTTGGCTGTGACTTGGCCGGGCTTTTCTGAAACTGGGTGACGACCAATTTAAGACAGGATTCTTTTTTGTTGCCCTTTTTCTTGGTTTAAGTCTCCACCCACCTTAGTGTATTGAGCGCACGGAAAAGGCAGGTCCTACAATCTCATCAGTAAGTAACCTGTGGGCTGTTGAGTGTCTGGCAGGTGTCTCTGAAGTCTCAGGGACTTGTAACATTCATGGGAAGCAGATACATAACAGGGTCGGGGTAGTGGGGGCTTGCAGGGCCTCGGGGCTTGAGGGGTGTACTTTTTTACTTGCCATGCTACATTTGGGGTCAGAGAATCCCAGCTCCCCCATGCACACACACAATTGCTAGTTATATGACTGTTCAGATTACTTAAATCAAGGTAGAACAGCCTCATTTTTCCTGTCTGTGAAGCGGATTGTATTTGTAGAGCCACCTTGGTGTTTCAGGAAGTCTGTTGTCCTGAGCTGCAGTTCCTGGTGCTTCTTGGGGACTCCTAGCATGTACCCCCTTACTTTCCTACCTGGGTTCAGACCATTTTTGCTGAAAGGACGCATGAAGGTGGTCTAATCCAAATCCTTGTGTCACAGAGAAACTGAGGCTGTAGGAGTTGAAGCACTTGGCCCAGATCCCATAGTTTGTTGATGACAGACCCTCGAGTGTGCTGACCCTTGTTGTGATACGCTCTCTGTGGGGGGTGCGGATCTACTGGGCTGGTGTAAAATAACGATAAATGTGCAATGATGCGCTCGTTAGCGCCTGTGCCTTCACAGACACACCAGTCTGTGGAAACTTCATTTTACTGTAAAAAAGTGTTAATACGGAGATTTCCTTCTTCTTAAAGATGAGTCCAATAAAGAAACAGCTAACCCACAAGAAAGAAGTCTCAGCAATGTAAGTGCTCCTTTTCTATCCATCTGTGTGCTTTAGAAATCCCCTCAGGAGGCTCCACTGACTGCCTCTTCAGCTTTGCTTTCTGCCCTTGCAGGATGACGGCGAAGAGAAAACAGTGGCGAGCGGGCGTCGGAGAGGGAGAAAGCCCAAGCGCTCGCTCACTTCCTCGGATGATGCCGGTGGGTGCCCAGCAGATCCTTAACCACGGAATCCAGTCAGCTTAAAATCACCTTTTTAAGAGTTTTTCTTTGGATGAGGAAAAATCGAGCGGGATGCAGCCAGTGTTAATATTGCATGAATACGTGCGAGATGACTCTAATCCCGTGTCAGAAGTGCTACATCCCAGATGCTTTTCTGAGTACATGAGAATTTCTCCCAGATGCTGGCTGTGAACGGCCTAAGTAAACTATCCAAATGTGTTTGAGATTAAGTTAAACAGTTGTGAATCGCCAGGGCCGAGACAAAAAGGAAATGGAAAACCACTTCTCCGCCTCCGAGTACCTCGTGTCCTGCGTTCCCGGCGCGTGACCCTGCCCTGGGGAAGGGTGCTTGGGACGGCGCGATCCAGGTGTTCCCTTCTGTTCCAACAGAATCCTCAGAGCCAGAGAGGAAACGCCAGAAATCCATTTCTGACGCCGCTGAGGACAAGAAAGACCCGGAGTCTGAGGAGGAGGAGGAGGAAGAGGAGGAGGAGGAGCCCTTGGGCGCCACCACGAGGTCCACCACCAGGTGGGAGGCCCAGAGGTAACCGTGAGCACCTCTAGGCACACACGCCCCGGGCCCGGGCCGCCCCTCCTTGGCCCTCCTGCCCGCTGGCATCTCCTTTCCGCCTCCTCAGGGAGTGCGCCGCCCTCTAAGCATCGGGAATTCCCATCTGAAGCCAGTGTTGAGGGTCAGTTTAGAATCTTTGCCAGATCCTTGGTGCCTGTTTGGGGACCCTTCTCAGAGAGGCGCGAGCACGCGGGCCCGCCGTCATCGCAGGCTCGGCCAGGCGGGAGGGGGCAGGACTGTGTGATGGGCTGCACGCGTGAGATGCCCTGTGCCCCGTGTGTGACTTACAGACTGGTGAGCTCATGTTTCCCAAAGTGTGTTCCCCCAGGTCCCAGGGTAGCCAGAGCCTCTGGGGGGGAAAGCACCATGGTCAGTGAGTTTTGGGCAGGTCGGTGAATCCTCTCCCCTTTCACAAGTCACATTAACATCGCCTCAGCCTGAGGAAAGAAACCTGTTTAACTTGTCTAAGCACACGGCATTGGCTGCTCCCCTTCCGTGCACCTGGTTCTGCCTCTGACCTGCAGTGTCCTTCCCTCAGCGGGTTGAGGCTGCTGTACCACTTTACAGAAAATACTCGCCTGGAAGGAGTGTGTTCCATTTTTAATGTGATTACAAGCTGTTCATCTTGGTATCATATTCTGTAATTTCATTATCTCAGATTAATCAAGACATTCAGGAACGTTTGTTTCACCTGTCGTCATAATACACAGTAACAGGGTCTCGGATTTACCTACAGGGTTAAAATCACCTATTTGATTCCTACAGTCATGCCTGCTGTTAACCATTTGTCTTGGTTTATTTCTCTAAGATTCAGATTTTAGAGCCAAAGGCTTTATTTTAAGAGTTTCATGAGGAAAGGCAGTGGTCTCATGCTTAGGTTTCTTTCTCTTTTTTTTTTTTTTAAGAATTATTTATTTAAAAGTTTTTTTTTAAAGATTTGTTTATTTATTCATACAAAAACTGGGGTACAGGCCAGAGCTGTGGGGAGGGGATTGAGAGGATTCACCAGAGACAGAGTGGGGAACAGAACAGGCAGATCGACCGAAGTACACTGCTGAAGGGAGCAGCGGGTGAGGCAGGAGGTCTGCTGCGCCATGTGGGTTGCTCCCTGGCCAGCCCGGGAATTGAACTCCTGCTGCAGAGGCTGCGGACAGCTTCATTGGTTGTGTCTTAACCCCTTGCACCACCAGGGAGGCCCCTTGGGGATCTGATGAGAATGTTCAGATAAACAGAAGTCTAGATAGACCCATGATTCCTGTGATTGAGAAGGTGGGGGTGCCAGGGACTGCACCCTACCCAGTTCAGAGCATCCACGGCACCACTGCCTCCCTCATTAACAGCCATTTGGTAGGAAGGATCCGCCTCAGGGAAAGTTCCAGGGACCTTCTAGCCATTGTTGAGTGTCTCAAAGTAGCTGTCAGATTTGCCTCTTAAAATTCATTCTTCAGAAATACACCTTACCTGGCTGTGGTTCTGTGATCATCTGAACACAGAAGGGTATCATATTCTATAATTTCATTATCTCAGATTAATCAAGACATTCAGAAACGTTTGTTTCACCTGTCGTAATACAACAGTAACAGGGTCTCGGATTTACCTACAGGGTTAAAAGGTGTCTTCCCAATGTGCTTTAGCAGCTTTTGTTTTACAAATGGACTCTTTACAGTCTTTAGTGTTGGTTGGTTGGTTCCAGGCCTCTGGAGTCTTCATAATTTCAGACCCAGGAGGTGGCAGAGCTCCAGGTGGGCGGGTGCTCTGCCCGTCTGTGCCTCACTCGGCAACCCAGCAGCTCTGTCCAGGCTACTCTGCTTCTACACGCCCCCAAGCAGGGGCCACTTCGTGGTCAGTGAGGCTGTCCTGTGGCCCTCCTGTCCCTCCAGTTCCATGCTCAGAGCTTTTCTGCTACTTTCTACCAAACATCTGCAGGCAGCTTCCAGGTCTTCTCACCTCTAGCCCTCCCGTCATTCCTGTTCCTCTCCATCTCTAAGCCATGGCTGTCCACATCAGTGCAGGCCTCTCGAGAGGCTCTTGCTCGTGTCTCCACACTGCCCTGGCTGCCCCGCCTTGCCGAGCCCCCTCTGTTGCAGTGCACACCGCCCAGCAAGTCCTTTTTCTCAGAGTTCCTGCGGGGAGTCGGTTCCCCCTCGTCGCCTGGCTGCGGGTGACCCTCTGAGGCAGCAGCAGGCCTCTCTCCTCTCAGCTTCAGAAATCTTCCATTTTTGAGCAACTTCCAAGTGGCTTGAAGCCGCGCCTCCCAGCTCTCACCACTGCCTGACTTTTGTTCGCTGCAGGTCCAAGGCCCAGCTCTCCCCTCCGACCAAGCGCAAGCGAGACGCCAGTCCCCCGGGGGCACGTACCAGAGGCCAGCAGCGGGTGGAGGAGGCCCCGGCCAAGAAGGCAAAGCGGTAACGAGCCGGTGCCCGGGCTGGTCCGGGTGGCGGAGCCGACAGGGGCCGCGCTCCGGGCCGGCTCTTTGCTGTCGCAGGGAGCAGATCTGCATGTGCTGAGTTCCTAGGTGCAAGCTTTCTCATTAAGTGTTAACAGCTTTATAAACTGTTGTTCATAGAAGATACTATGTACATTTACTTCAGATAAAGGAAAATAAGTTTACTTTGTATCTGAACTCAAAACAAAGTAGTTGTATATTTTAACATGCAAAATTGGGATTTCCCGATGTGACACATGACTAATGCAAACCCCTGAGCCGGGGACACCAGGCCTGCCCTCGGCGATCTGTGTACAGTCTATACACATGTAAAAATAGGTTGTATTTTACTCTATGTATGATGCTAATCAATGGACACTTTATTTATTTTACAGAGAAAACTTATCTGTGAACTTTACTATATATCTGTTTATTTTATTTTTTTTTTAATAAAAGGGTTTTAAATGCTATGCAGTCATTAGTAGAAACATATTAGGACCCTGCCTGCCCTGTGACTATCTGATATGAACTGGCAGAAAATACAGAACCTTCTCGCATGTATCCAAGTAAAGTAGTTTAGCTCAAGGAAGGATCTCACTGATTTCTGTTCACAGTTGTTACTCTGTTTTTTAAGAATGTGACTTGTTTTTAGATTATACTTGCAGCTGTGACTTCCCCCCCAGCGCCCCAGCGCTAGCAGGTCTGGTTCTGGTAAGGGACAGCAGCCCCCCGCAGAGACCCCTCACCACCTGTCCCGCCTGTCCCCCGTGCTCTCCCCCCGGCCGCCCCAGAGTCTTCCCACCTGTCAGTTTCCGTATGAAGACAAGTGAAGTAAGGATTAGGTCACTCAAGTGAAGTAAGGATTAGGTCACTCTTCTTGATCAAGCGTCAGGATTTTGTGTTGTTTTATACACAATTATTTCAGGATAGAAACTGGCTTTACTGCCGGATTCTTTTTTAACATATTTTAACTCCCACACGAGCAAACCGTTCAACTTAAGTTTTTCATACGATTAAATTTTTCTTGAGATCAAATTTGTCTCTAGCAATGAATGATGTGATGAGTTGCCAAATAATTGAGATTATTTTAAAGCGTTTTCTTCATATTCTTGTTTTATAATTAAAATTTACATTCAGTGTGTGTGAATTTTCTTTTTGGAATTCTTAATGTAAGGTGGATATTTGTCATTTTACATGGTTTCTTACTGAGATTTTATATATAAATTATAAAATGTTTCCCAAAACTTGAGTGGTAAGAATTTTTTTTTTCCATATTTAAAAATTTCTCCCTGTGAAAACCGTTTCTTGGCTTTCGATATCTTGTTCCACTTTCACATTCAAACACGAGCCAGGTGTGGCCTCTGCCTCGCCAGGACTGGGTATCGGGTCTGGAAGGGGCGGTGGAGACCCGACAGGTCCTCGCTTTCATTTGAATGAAAGTTTAACCAGGCCCAGAAATCTGAAGTGACTCGTCTCCTTCAGGACAGAGCCCGGGAAGCTTGGCAGCTGCAAGCCGGTGCCTGGCAGGCCTTGCGCTCTGGGCTTAGACGGGCTCCCTGGAAGGCCACGCCTGGAAATGTCTCCCAAGGCGCGGCCAGCGGGGCGGGACACCACACCCACGGGGCAAAGCTAGAACAGGCTCTGCAGGAGGAGCGCTGGTGGCCAGAGAAGGCGGCGGGACCACTCGGCTCTGGTGGCTCCGAAACCCATCCCGGGAGGAGCTGCACCCACCGGGCAGCGTGTCTGGTCATCGTGACGTCTCAGGCACGGCCAGTTAACTAAGGAAAACAACACAAAAATGAGTGATAGTGCTAACTGGTATGTGAATCGTCACATCCGCTTCTGGCTTGAAATGTTTTTCCTCAATTCCAGGCGTTTGATGGCCCCTCACCCCCCTCCAGCTGGACAATGGGCACATATTAACCTGCCCTCTGATGCCAGAGCATAATGCAGTCACGTCAGAGGCATTTTAAATGGTGTTTAAAGTCAAAGTGCATAAAACGGAAGATGCACATAATTCAGAGGCATTTTAAATGGTGTTTAAAGTCAAAGTGCATAAAACGGAAGATGCACATAATTCAGTTAGGGAACAACGTGACCGCAAATGACAATCTTGTGCGTGAAAATGGCAACCTCCGTGAGACTTCCACATGTAGCAGCGATGAAGATACTCCACTTTCAGAGATGCAGGAAGGGGGACAGAGTGTGCCTTCAACAAAATACATGGTTTTCTTTTTTTCACTCAAGTGAGATTTTGCATAACTACTCTTTATGCAACCTTTAAAAATTGTGTGCCTCTCCGGTCTTGCTCCAAGTGGCTGAAAGGAACATCTCGTGCATTTTCTATCCTTATTTCCTCTTCTGTGAATTGTCTTCTAGCTTTTTATTTAGCTTAATAACTTGTAGGAGTTCTTTATATATGTTTTTATATAAAATGTGCGTAGCTTTATATACTCAGGATAATAAATCTTTGTGTCTATAGACTAGAAACCCCCAACCACATTCACAGTGGGTGGTTTCGTTTCCCTTTATACTTATTTGTGAGCAGTCCTTCATTTTGATTGAATTGGATAGAAACTTCATTTTGTGGGTAACCCTTGTATCTTAGGACTCAGGATCAAATAGAAGCTTTTCTGGTGGTGGTGCCTGTCTCGTAGAGGGCATGGAAGGAAAACAAGGGCTGTATTAGCACATGGTCCAGGAAAGCCAGGTATATGGAAGAAGTAGGCCAATCCGCCAGGCGCTGCTAGGTGCTAAGAGGATCTAAGGCCAGAAAGCATCGTGCTATATGTACAAGGCTGGGTCCCATGCACACCAGCCAACACCTCAATTTCTCGAGTCACCCTGGGGTGCCCTTCACTCCTCATCCTTTGGACTCCCCCAATACCTAGATCCCACATCTTCCTCTTGCTGGTTTACTCTCATATCCCCGGGAAGCATCCTCAGAAATGGCCCTGCAGTAACATAAGGACCAGTGTCCCATCAGACTCAGATCAATCAAAGCTCTTCCCCAGCATCAAGCTTCATCGTTTCAAGGACGGAAGTGGCTTCTCAGCACAAGTGGAACAGAGAGATTGGAGCCGGCAACCTACTTGGCCTGCCCTTTCGTCAGGACACACGTGCCCGGAGCAACACACGAGGTTTCTGAAAAATAACTGCTGCTCAGTTTCTTACGCCGAAGCTTCTGTCAGGCAGGGCACGTGCGTATCCACATGGCTGTGCCGTCTGTGTGACATTTTCCAGGGAGCCAAGCCCCATAAATCAACAGATCCAAAGAGGAGGTGCTCATTTGTTGTTGCCATAAGCCACCCCAGAGAGACCAGGTACATCCTGCTCACAGGCTTTCTCCGAGGCCCCACACGCACCAGCAACGCCTTCAGCTCTTTGCCCGGAGGCTCATCATGAGCACGTTTACAGGAATGTTTCGCTGCAGGCCTCCTCCTTTCTTTCCCAGGGATTAGGATTGAAGTCCAAATTCCTTCTACTACATTAGAGGAAATGGTTCCCAACCTCATATCAGTCCTGGTCCAATCAGTCATTAGAAACCACATTGGTTATTTAATACGTCATCGCATACTGGAATTCCCTGGAACAGCCTTTCAAGAACTAAAAAGCCAAAGGGACGTCAAACAGTGGAACCAGCCTCCCCGCTGCTGGGAGGAGGCAACAAACAGAAAAGGCTGAGCCTGGGAAGAGACTGAAGACAACATCTGGGCCCTCTGGGAAGCAGCTCCCAGTGAGGGCAAACTGGGAGCCAGAACCCACTCAGACTGTAATGCGGTGGCAGTGGGGGGACAGCAAGTCCCTTCTGCAAATTCAGCTTTCTCTCTTTTCAGTGCCCCCAATTGACAGGACGTGCAGTCAGCTGGTTAAAGAGAAACCAATGTTCAGCATCTCCTTCAGTCACCACGAAGCAGAGTATAGCAGAGCGGGTTGGGAGTGAGCAGAGAATAGGGTCATAAAGTGCACACGCCACTCGTGGGCGACTCACATGCACCCCACCCTTCTATCCATACCTGTATTTCCATCCAAGAACAACTTGTGGATTTCCCTTCTTCTTTTATTCTGCAGGAACTCCGCCGTGCGCCACAGTCAGTGTGCAATTCAAGTCTGGAATTAAGCAGGCAAGGCTGGGTGTTTTGCTGTGCTTGAGCCTTGACACATAGCTAATACGCAAAAGCTGGCTGAAGCGAAAACTCCAAATAAATGTTTCCATCCTCTGTAGAAATCATCGGTGTCCTCATTCACTTAGCTTTTCATCTCCTGGCGGTGATCCTCTCTGTTGGTGTTTCATAAATGCCTTCCCTGTGACCACTAGCAGCATTTGCTCATTATTTTTTTTTAATGTCTTCTTTTCAAAATGAGTTTATCATCACAACTCAGATCTGTTTTTATTTGCGGAAATCGATTTGTCAGCCTGCAGTTAGTCTTACTTGAAATTGTCAAGCTAACATTTTTTTCAAACCGGGACGAAGCATTCCCCGAGAACGCAAAAGGCTTTTCCTATTTTGGGCTCATGTGTCCCCTGCTTACCCTCGAACGCTGCTGTTAATTTCATCCCTGTCATTTCTACGATCCCTGGTCCTTCAAGAAGCTCCCTTCCCCCACATGCATCATTGAAGTTTACATGGATATAATTGCTCATTTTTGAATCTTAAAAAGTAAATGTAACCTTTCTTGGAACCCAGCGAGAGCCTTGACTCAGTGAATTTGCCTCCCCCTAACCCCCGCCTAGACCCCTTCTTCATCCCCACTTGAATACGGATGATTCCAGAGACACGGTTTGGACGAGCTGCCCTTGCGTTCCCCTCTGACAGTTCCCAGGACACCTCGCCCCTGTCTGTTCATGTGACATTTCATCGAGCCCATGTGCTCCCACGACATCCTGCCTCCCTCCCTGCGTCTAGCCACCCTCGCTCGGACACAGTGACAGAGCCGCCAGCTCTTGACATAAACCTCCCCCCTGAGCGCCCCTCTCCCCGCCCCAGCTTGAGCCTCTTTCTCTGACAGCGCAGCTTTCTGGCCCTTTCTCTTTCAAACCCAGTCCAAAACATCCCATCTTGGAAATAAACATCTCCAAGTTTGGCCTCAGAAGATGATTTAACAACAACAAAAGACAGTGAAATATGTTATTTGTGCTACAAGGCTGGGGGAACAGCGATGTGGCTGAGGCTGAAGGGAGCTCGGGCGTTTTACAGGACAGGCGTCCTAGCAGCTCCGTGTTCTCCGTGACCTTGAATAAATCGTTGGCCTCTTGCAGCTCAGGTTCCTCACCTGTGAGTAGAAATGCTGATCCCTGCCCTGCTGATCTCAGAGGGTCATGTGAGGAGAAGTTTCATGCATTAACAGATGCCAAGACCTGTTCTCTGCACAGAAAGTGCTAGAGCTTAGGCCTGTGACTGTGGCAAACGCCTCAGTGCATTTCTGCTGCTCTACCTCACCTGATCTCACCTCTCCATGGTCTCAAATCACCACTTCTCACCTTGTTGCCTCCCTGCCTTCACTCAGCTAGCCTCATAGTTATTGGAGAATGAAATAAAGGAATATACAAACAGCATCCAAATTCTCCCTGGCTCATTGCATAGGCCCAGTAGATGCCGGCCATGCTCGGGACTAACTCACTGTCAGCCACCCGGAGAGCCGGCCTGCAAACATCTCTGCATCCCTCCCTTGAGCAGAGACAAGCCCCTTGCACTTTTCAAGGACTTTGCTTCTGCAGTTTTCTCTTCTTCCCTGCAATGTCAACAATCCCTCTCTGTTGGATTATTGATACCAGTATAAAATCATATCCTAGTATCTCTTTGCACAAAATGATGGTAGCCAGGTTCGGCTTGTGGGTGGGTGAGGGGTTAGAGGGTACGGGTAGGATGGGGGAGAGAATAGACATTGCTTAAGGGCACAAACTTGCAATGAGTAAGACAGTGGAATACACAGAAAACGGGCCTCCCAGGTAGCGCAGCGGTAGAGCGCTGGGTTGCGAAGCTGCCCGCAGCCTCTGTGGCGCCGGTTCGATCCCCGGCTGCTCCCCGGCCACCGGAGGAGGGTCCCACATGGCGCGCAGACCTCTCCTGCCGCCCGCTGCTCCCCTCAGCAGTGTACTTCAGTCCTTCTGCCTGCTCTGCTCCCTACTCTGGCTCTGGTGAATTCTTTCACCCTCCCGCGCTTCTGACTGTACCCAGTGCATGTATAAACAAAACAAACAAACAAATAAAAATAAAAACATGCCTCTATTAAAAAAAAAAATTATTAAAAAAAAAAAGAATACACAGAAAACA